CGTGACCCCCTGAAGGTCACGTGACCCCTAAGGTCACGTGACCTTGGGGGTCACGTGGGGTCATCTTGAGATCACGTGACCACCAAGGTCACGTGACCCCCCCGAGGTCACGTGACCCCTTCCAAGGTCATCTCAAGGTCACGTGACCCCAAGATGACCCCATGTGACCCTTTGAAGGTAACGTGACCCCCAAATAACGTGACCCCTCTGAGGTCACGAGACCCCCGAGGTCACGTGGTCTCCTCCCCAAGGTCACGTGACCCCTTCCAGGGTCATCTCAAGGTCACGTGACCCCAAGGTGACCCCCACGTGACCCCCAGGTCACGTGACCCCCCGAGTTCACGTGACCCTTCCAGGTCACGTGACCCCCAAGGTCACGGGGGGGTCACCTTGGGGGTCACGTGACCTTGAGGTGACCCCCAGGTCACGCCTCCCCGAGGTCACGTGACCCCCTCCCCGAAGTCACGTGACACACACACCCCGAGGTCATGTGACCCCCCCCCCGGAGCATATTAAAGAATGAGGGGAGGAGGAGGAGAAGGGGGAGGGGTCTACCCTCCCCTCAGTACCCTTCACTCCTCCTCCTCAAGAGCTGCGCTCCAATTCGGCGTTACAGGGATTTGTAAACGGCTTTCACTTTTTTTTGTTCACACACAGACACAATTAGATATCGCTAAGTGACTGTCATTCTCAATAAATTAGGTGAAATAAAAGTTTTGTTCCGTAATCTTGGACCGGCTACATTAAAGCCAAGGTGCCACCCATACGCAAAATGTGCTGCCCGTGTGCACCGCGATGGATTTAGAATATCAACAGACTTAATTTTATCCGTTAAGCCAACGAGAAAGGCGAAAATGCTCCGATAGTAATGCGGCCTCAGTGGAAGAAGGCGTGAACGCATTTTTGTCATCATGAGACTGCGTGTCCATTGACGCATGATACTGATCGGTGGTTGAGCTGACTTGAGCAAGAACAATTATTGGTGTTTCGAATGCATCGTGGTACAGTATACCTCCAGGGACTTCGGATAGATGTAGGACCCATGAAACATGATCTCCAGTTACAGAATAAAAGGCCCACGTTCAACTCTTCACTTCTACTGTATTAAACTCTTAGCACTTGCACGATAAAACAGATTTACACTGCAATCTATTGAATTAAAAGATACAATAAAATAAACAACGGTGAAACATTTTTTTTTTTTTACATATAATATTTCATTGATAACCCGCGTGTTCTAGACCGTCAAAGCTATTTTTGTGTCGTTCGCGAAAATCACGCAGTAAAGTGGATGCATATTTAGCGCGTTTTTCAAGAAATTTTCGAGGTGTTTGATATGGCCAAGTGTATGCACAAGTGTCTCCTTTTTTTACCATTATTCTGAGGGAAAGTGTTCAAAAAAGCGTCTTTGGCGCATCGGAACGCAAGGAGACGCGCGCCAATCAGAAAGCAGCACCGATAACGCGCAAGGAACACGCAATGAGGCAGTCAAGTGCGTCGCGCCATTGGTAGAGGTCGGGGGAGAAACAAAACCACGTGGGCGAATGTGGAAGGTAAACAAACGCGCGAGGTGCGCAAACGGCAGACGAAGTTGCACGGTGTATTCACATCTGATCCGTGTTACTCTTTGTTCTGCCTTATATGGTTATACCTAACTAAATAGGCGTAACTCAACTCAAGCAGAAATTAGTGTCGACTCTCTGAAAGAATTAAATTAACGACAATTATTAGCATACATCGAGAGGTAGTATGCATAATCAATACAAGCGAACAGTTCCTTCCGAACAATTTTCGGGTGATTCCCTCGTTTCACGAGCACTTGAAACGAGGGATTCTATTCTATTCAATGGCCTTCCGAACGGAAACCATTGAATAGAATTGGTAAATTATCTCGCAAACTCTACTCTGCACCAATTCCTCGGCATGCGCTGCTTCGCCGATTCTCTAAAGGCATTAAATCCAGAGGGATCTGAAATACATGTAATCCAAGAGCATAAACCATCTTAGATGATTCACAAAATCCCGTCAAGTGGCATTGACGGTTACCATGTTTTGGGCACAGCTTTCGGCGCTAATCTTGTGACTGAACACGAGCCGGCAGCCGAACGCCCAGCGACGTAGTGATTGGAGTAGATTTCAGGCCGCGTGATGGCGCAGCACTCGTCCTTCAATGCGGGTTCTGAGCACAGGGACAAACTATGGCGGCGTTTAATAATGGGCTCAGCAGCTACTCGATGGCGTGCATTTTTGTAAAGGGTCTATTAATTTTTACTAGGGATGCCGCGAACTTTTTTTGAATCGAAGTTTCGATGATCGAATCAAGCGGTTCGAAAGGTTCGAAAGATTTTGATTTTTCGAATTGTCTATGTCGTAAAATTCGACGGAGGTCGAATTTTTGAACTGGTTAAGCTAAGAAGTTCGGCGCTTTTCGAACCGTCGAACTTATTACGCTAAAAAATTTGATCTTTTTCGAACTTTCGAACTTATTGCGCTGCAAGGTTCGATGCTTGTCGAACTTCCGAACTTGACTGACCGAAAAATCGATGAATTTCGAACTTTCGAACTCATTTATCAAGAGAAATCGAAAAGTTTCGAACTTTCGAATTTTGAAAAGTCAGAAGTTCGACGAACTTCGAACTTTTAGGGTAAAAGTTAGACGTTCGTCGAACTTCGAAAGACCGGCGGACGGTTTCATTTGATTTCAAGTAGTGGGGTACATTCGTAATATTTTTTTCTCGAACTTTTACACGCGGTGCTGCGTTCCTTACGAAAGACAATGCCGTTTATTTCAATGTTCTGGCATGCTTAGGTTTAAAGAAATAAATCCCCGAAGGGGCGAGGATGGACGACGGGTTTTTGACGATTATCGTTTGTGCCAGATTTGAAACGCGCTGTAGCCGAAGCTATTTATGGTAGATATGTTATACTTTTTTAAGAATTATCTATGTATAGCCTAGGTAAGTGCTGTCTTAAGATGTGATTACTGTTATTCAACGTGAGTTTCGAAGAAATGTCCAAACATGTATCTGCATGCAATTATGACCTAAACTTGATATTTATTTTCGTCTAAGTTGTTTGAGGTATCGCATTTAAATTAACGCCACAGACAGTACATATTATTGCCATCTGTAGAATACAAAATAATGCATTCATTGTTTTTTTCGCGTTAAGGAATGAATTAACTTATGGGAGAAGATTTCTAATAGTGTTCAAGTTCAGCACGTCATTAAAAGAAAACATTTTTTTTTTCGCTTCACGTTCCTGGGACGTGTTTCTTTTAGCCCGTACACATTTTCGTAAAAGAAACTTCTTTTGAAGTTCTGAACCTCTAAATCTGCAAGAATACAACACTTCCGGAGAATTCTTGATAGTTTTTTTGTTTTTGTTTTTCTCCAGCTTTTTATCCCCGCATTTCTTTTTTTTTTTTTGTTACTATCGGCACAGGTATTTAGGTCGAAAATACAGCTTTGAACTTCCGAACCACTAAGCATGTGACGAGTAGTGCCTTCTGACAACGAGTTTCTAACAAAGACCATCTACACAATCGTTTATGCAGTGAATAGCGACAGTAGCTATACATATGCATAAATAATTTCAGATTAAAATAAGCTCGACCACGCCCTCTTTCTCCGTATTGTTTTCTTTAACAGTCCGAAATACCTGCAAGGGGGAGAAGGAGGCTAAAGGCCCCCCCCCCCCCCCCCCCCCCCCGCTACCCCCTTTCCCCCCGTTTTTCCTCTTCCGACGCCACTTGTATGGTAGAACGCTCCTCGACCTCGAGTTGTGTCGGCTATTGTGCTTTTTGCGAGGCGATTCCTTTGTCCCAGAAAATAAACCTCCAGGACAATTACAAACTTCACTTACTATATGCCAGCGTCACTCGGGCGGCGTTCGATCGGATTACTACCAGCGTGCAAGGGGTGGCGAGGTGGTTTGCCAGGTCGCTTTAAGGTTTTCTGAGCCTCAACCTCCTCGCCCCTGGCCGTTTCGAACTGGATGAGTCTCGTAAAACAGTGTGTTCGTGTAATCACTCCTGCGTGATGCAGGTTAAAGACCCCCCGGGGCTGGCGGTCACAATTCTGCACTGGCAAATATTCCAGCACGTCCGGGACACTCGTTGTCTCATTTAATTGCCTGACCAACTTCGCAGAATCTAGATATCACACCCTAAATTTTCTAAACTTGATTTTGTGAAAACCAGTGAGTCGTGAAAACGTTATTTGAAACTGAAACTGTGGCAGAAAAACTTGAAAATCGAATTTCGAACTTTGAAAACTTGGATTAAAAAGAAATTCAAAATCTTCGGAGTTTTTTTTTTTTTTTTTTAGTTTAGCGTTAAAAGGGAATCGAAACCTTCGAGCTTGTCGAACTTTATGCAGAAAGAAATTCGAAATCTTCGAATTGTTCGAACTTCAAGTCTATAAAACTTCGAAGCGTTCGAAGTCTTCGAATTTTATTTCCAAAGAATTTCGAAATCTTCGAATTTATCGAACCTGAAGTAAAAAAATATTCGAAATATTCAAATTCGAAATTTTAGAAACCATGAAAGCCTAGAATTTTTCGAATTCGAAACTGCGCTGTGGTCAAAAGTTGCGAATTTTTCGAATTCGAACCTCGGTCGGTACGAAAATATCGAAAGTTTTCGAAAACGAACCTCAGCTCGCTTCGCAAATATCGAAACCTTTCGAAATCGAACCAAGGGTGGTTCGCGACATCCCTAATTTTTACGTCAAGAAGTACAAGTGAACACAGATTCGCAAGCAGGAAGAAGTCTGAAGATGCCCTCGAAGGACACATATGTACGTATCGATAAAGAAAACAACCAACACATAGATAATCAATATGTCGCGCCGTACCACGAGATGCCATGTATCGCTTTGTACCTTATATTTCGCAAAAGGAGCGTACAGTCCTCCTCGGAGACCAGTTGACTGAAGTACCCTAATCATATCGGGGACGGTATCACCCGATAGCTCGAACAATCTCGCGCGAGGGTAACACTCAGAACAGACGCCTTCTTCAAGCATCGCATCAGTCAGCGAGTTTTATCCCCATCGTAAGGAGTCTCCGGAAAAACAAAAGTTAATTAGAGCAGGCTTCTCCGACGAGAAAAAACTCACTCGACATGTCTAAATCCGCCAAGTTCCAACCGATCCCCACCAGCGACGTGATTGGCGAACCGCCCAAAGAGTCCTCCGAAGAGACGGACCCGGAATACATGTGCGGTATCTTCGGCTACAGACCGCGGTGGTTGCAGAGGTTCGCCAAGGCCTATTACTTCCTGATATGTTACGTTCTCTTCGGCATCTTTCAGGGGGCCCTAAAGGCCTACCTGAACGGCACCATCACGACCATCGAGCGCAAGTTCGCACTCACCGGAAAGATGTTCGGTGTCATCCTCATAGCGGACAACATCAGTTCTCTGTTCACCAGTCTTCTAGTAGGTTACTACGCCACGAAGATCAGCCGGCCTAAGATCATCGCGTTCGGCATCTGGATGTCTGTGCTGGGCTGCTTCGTGAGCGTCCTTCCATACATCGTCTACGGTCCAGGATTCGTGAGCGCTTCTCAGGGGACTCCTCTTCCGGATCACCAGACGGGCTCTTTTCTGACCAGATCGAGAATTCAGAAGGAGTTTTGCGCCAAGGGAAGCGACGACGACTTTGTGCGCGACGACACGCCGGCACCCACAGGCATCATGGCCGTTAGCATTTTGTTTCTGGCAAACTTTTTGAATGGTCTCGGTGGAACTTCTTTCTACATTTCGGGAGCGACCTACACCGATGACAACGTCAAGAAGAAGAACTCGCCCATCTACTTCAGTAAGTGTTTCTCGTCTCTTGCAAAGCCAAAGGAAGGATGCGAAATACCGGAATAAAGCTGCTAAGTTAGTAAAGTTTTTTTTTTTTTTTACAAGTTACAGTTATATCACAGAAAAACTAATTATTTCTCAATTTTCAACAAACGTTGAAAATTGTTGAAATTGCTGCTGCGAGTGTTAAGTTCGATCGATTACGGTTGTTCCTCAATACTATGTTGACAAATAGGCATGCCCTCATGAATCAAGTTTAAACACAGGCGCTAAATATTGTCTCTACTTCAAACCTTGTCGCAAGAAGAGTACCAAATCAAAATAGAACCGCGCGTAGAAATATTTTGCTTAAAAATATATAAAAAAAGCGTCCAAATAAACACGGACGCAGAAAAGATTAAAAACACGGACAGGTGCTGTTTAATCTGTTCAATCATGAAGCAACTAGACCAATCTGTACTTTTTATTTAACTATTCTGCGTCAGAATCTTTTACCTTCGGTTGATGGCCAGCAATCGCGGCACACCTGACACCATGAGATCATTTAATATTTATCCGAGCATAACCTAGGTAATTTCTGCGAGTAACTGTATTTACAACTGGATACATTTACTAAATATAATATAATGTGTAATGAGACGAAAGAAATTAATTTCGATGGTTTGTTTTATTTTTGCTTCAATATTAAAAAAAGAAGATATCGGGGGGGTATTCTTAGATGTCTTAACTTTATGTTGAGTAACTATTACTTAACTGTAGCAAGCAAAATATTAAACAAAACTACAATATTTGAAAGTCACACAATGTCGCATTTTGCCCCATCCTATGGGGCAAAATGAGACGACGTAGTGGGGTACAATGAGACACGTTTAAAAAAACCTGAAGTGCTTTCAGTTTTTGCAATAAAAACACCTGAAACGCACTGTGTAAGCCCCAACGCACTTTTAATGAGCCCACTTCTTGCATTCAATGCACTAGATCCATAGTGAATGCAGGGCTGCTTGGCTCCTAAGTTCTTTGCATGCCAGGCACCGCCAGTCTTTGATGGTGGGCATCGCACGGTCTACAGAACGCTCGGCTTTCTTGCTCCTTTTCCTTACATTAGGTACAAAAGAAATGTTCTTGAAACTTGGAACGTCGGAAAGAACATGCCTTCGGTAGCCCAACCGTTTTTTTTTTTTTTTTTTTTTTTTTTTTTTGTAGAGCAGCTGTTCTTCACATTTACCGAGCCGTTTGACTCGCATTTGAAGCGCATCCTTTGGCACGCCAAAAAATGTGACAGCAGTGCGAAAGGAGTGACGCTGTTGCTTGACATTTTCAAGAGCTTTGGTCATGTCACTTTGGCGCTATGAGTCCCTTGTTATTTTTTTTTTTATACGTTCGAACCATCCCAGACACCGGGAGAAAAATATTATTGCTCAGGAGGAGCCAGGGACTCGTCATAGCAAGCCAGAGTGTCGCGTCTGGCCCCCCGCGTATCCTGTTACGTAAGTAATTATTTCTTTAAAAACGCAACCACAAATTGTTCGAATTTCGTCCAGATGGAGCTGATAAAGCATACCAACAAAATTAAAGATTACTTTGGCAGAATAGTAAGTGCCAACCGGGGTGCTCCTCTCGAGGCGAAACCTCGCGTTGAATTTTGTGTCTTTTTGGCGGGAAGGGGGGGGGGGGGGGGGGGGGGGGTTCACAAGTCAACTTCAACTTCGCATTTATTTTCTCTTGGACACTTTTGCCAATAGCTCTGAATTTTTACAAATGCAAAATGTACTACAGGTCACGCGACCTGTCGGTGAAGTTTGAACGTATATGATGGATGGCGCTAAACATAAACTGTCGCATTTTGCCCCACGTCTCATTTCATCGCACCTTACCCTGCTTCTACTATTTGTTTTCTAAAATAACGTTTATCGTAAGTTATTTGCCTTTTAGGAGTTCTCCTTACAGCTCGGAGTGCCATAGTGTTACCACTTACGGTCTTCGAACACTACGACGAAGATGCAATGATAACTCCTAAAGGTACTCTCTGTGGGATCGTGCCTTCACGGAAATGTGCTAAGACAGGGCCGGATTAGTTTCCTCGTGCCTTCTGACGGCGTTCACTTTCAAAACTCACCGCGTAAAGTTATCAGGTTTTTCGTATTACTGCACCTTTCGCAAACTGACGAAGTTTAGTTTATGGCCCCGAGATGGGGCAGAAGGGACGCATGGCGACGTGCGTGCGCATGGGGACGATGAAAGAATTAATTTGCATTTTATATGAGATATGTGATCTTGGAAATAAGTTTTGTTTTTTATTTATGTTTCAGGTCTTGTTTTTTCGCTGCGCCTGCTGGGACCAATGCTGGGATACGTGTCTGCTTCCGTCTGCCTTAGCATTTACGAGTCTCCCTTTGGTAAGGCAAAGACCACATCCTTTCTTATATTTAGCCTTCATGGCAATAATCTGTATCCGACAACACACCACCTGTCAACCGAATTCACAAAGCATTGCCGGTTGAATGGCGTTCGTTTTGAAACAGATGTCGATCGAAACTATTATAAAAAGAGGTGTTTTAAAAGGGGAGGTACTTTGTGGATACTAAATTAACACACACCGGTGGTCGCCCATTGTTGATACAAACTATCAGTAAACGCAACTTTCCTCCAAAAATTGCTCTGCCCGTCGTCTATTCGAAGTGTCTTCACCACTGGAGCCCTGATCGTACGAAGGTAAACATAACGGTCACTGAAATCAGCCGTCATTGGTATTCACAACTGCCCTAAATAACATTGTAAAAATGTCCGAACTGAGGGTGTTCGTTTTTGGCATCGATTCATACTTTTCTCCACGACTTAGCTGATATCTCGTGCCCCGTGTCGCTTATCGCAGCGATAAGATGGTTATTGAAATAATACTTAAAAAACAAGCGAGCTGGTGATGATTCATGGTATTAAAACCCGAGACTTAGGAACACAGAAAAGGACGAACACAACACAACGTTGTGTTGTGTTCGTCCTCTTCTGTGTTCCTGAGTGTGGGTTTTATTACCATGAAGATGGTTATGAAGAAAGAGTATCCTTTTTTTCTTCTGAAGCCAACTCAGAGCACCTATAATCACTTCCTTGGCAACCGCTACAGGTGAAGAAAATCGTGAAAATTCATACTCCAATCACCATGTACTAATGTTCGCTCGTTTGGGTCGTCAGACGAGTGCCTTTGATTACTGGCTCTCGAATAAACTCTATTGTTTCTCCGACCCGTGAAGAGCGCTGCATGCGACTCAAGAAGATACAAAAGGTTGGATACCTAGAAAGCCGAAGGTATATGCATAGAGATTGCTTTGTTTTTAAACTGATCAACGCAATCGGTTATCACACAAAACGTATCTGAAAACACAACCATAACAATGGCTAGCCGGCGCATTTTCAGGCTCTAAAAGTGGATGTGTGTCTATAGTCTGCTGCAGCGTAAGAACTTCAAGAGAGGCCTCGTATCCAAATAGACATTTTCCACATAAAAACAACACCGAGCGGGCAATGTTCAAAGTGCGATTGACTTCCAGAAACGGAATCTCGACCTCTCCTGCCTCCTCAGTGAGGGTTACGGCGGAGAGGTTGCACAGCCCTTTTTAATAATTATAATAACAATATTAATAGATTATTTATCATCAGAGTGATGAAGGGGAGGCCGTAGAAAAAAGCTGAAAGGCTTTTTTCTACGGCCTTTCCTTCTAATCTAATCCAACCGAACAAAAAAAAAAGTTAATCATGAACATATTTTGATCATTAACTATACAAACTTTGCCGTTGTTCAGCTACTGTTCAAATCATTATTTATAAGAATGTTGATTAAATTCGATAGGGTGAATTCAAGCATTCGTTTACCATAATTTGTTCGGTGAGGGATCATCCTCCAACATTCAGTGTGACAAGCAGGATACGCCTGATTTCTTTTTTTTTTGGCCAGTGTTGAAAGGTCAGCTAGAAAGCGAGAATTCCTTTTTTTTCTTCGCTTTTGAAACTAACGCTTAAGCTGTAATTTATAGATTTTGTGCAGTAATAATTGTGAAGCGTGTAAACAAATAAGCAGTGTGAGAGTTATACGAAACGTTACAGATAATTTTGATCATTTCCTTTTGGAATAAAAATATCTTATCTAAATTTGTGGACGTGGTAGTGCCCCATAAAAGGTGATAATAACATAAGTATGAATAAAAGAGGGTGTTGTAAATAAGCAGTCGTACAAAAATTGGCAGGACAGAGAGGTTACTGTTGGCTAACCCGACGATGCAAGACAACTTTTTGGTGAAGTTATTTCAGACTTTTGTCAATATCGAACACTCTACTGAAGATACTGTATTTCAAATACCTTTTGTAGTATTTTGGTATCTTGCAAATAAATTTCGTCTGGAGTATTTGCTACTATATCTTAATTACACTTCTCGCTATCTTGTACTCGGTATCTCAAATACATTTTGTAAACTTGGAAAAAAAGTCCCTGTGACAGTCTACGGAACTAAGTATCGTCAAACAAAGGGCAAAGCTGAACTGATTGCAAACTTGGAGCCAAGCGACCGAACACAAAACAGGAAACAAGGCACGAGCAAAACGCAGCCACCAAATGCCAACAAAAGACCAAATGGATTGCCCCTAGTACGCTCGCCTTAATGTGTCCTCTTGTCCTCTCGCCCACTTTTTTTTTATTGCTGTTTTTGAATGACACGTCAAGCTTGGAGCTAGCGAAGTGCTGGTGACGTCATCTGGATTTTATACTCAGACCCAACTTTTTGTCTGGGGCTAGAGTGGTTCCCTCAGTGGAGGATTGTGACGCCAACGAAATGTAGGATCAAAATGGGCCAACTTCGAAAATCACAGGTTCAGAGGTATAAAATGCACGAACACGTTTTCATGCGAGCAGAGACACTCCCTCGGCCAAAGAATCTAGATCCTACTGGCTTTATTGAGCTGCAGTGACCTAGGTTAGGCTTCCCCAAAACTTTCTGTGTGTCTATTGCGGCTTAACTCTTTCTCCGATGCTCGTTCCCCCAAACGCGTTTCTTTCATCTCCTTCTAAATGCGCCCATTGTTTCGTCCTCATATTCCTTAAAACTAGTTTTCCGCCAGGTGAAGTCATTTATAAACATTCTGATTCTGAAGTCTTGATCACCTTGACCTCAGTGCATCAAGAATGGTTTGAACTGGTGCAGAAGGGGGCAGGAAAATGGGGTTTAAAAGCGCTTTTGTGGACTCTCTTCAGTGTTTCCTGTGTTTTCCTCTTAACCTTCCTAATATATAGTTTCTTGTTTTTTGTTGTGACAGTAATAAAATACAGGTTCTCATCCTCGCTGTTGACGGGGGGGGGGGGGGGGGGGGGGGGGACAAAGTACTTACTCTTAACTGTTAATCAGCGACAGATGCTGCTGTCCTCGAGTATGTTTCTCCTGTGCGTGCACGTGCGTCCTTCATTCACGTACATATCAACAAGTCTGGCTGCCGAACAAGTTTTAGTTCGGCTCTTAAGGATATGCAATGCCGGACCACATGCCAAGTCCCCCGAATCGCGGCGGGGCATACTACGTACTTATTGTGGAATGCGTCATGGGCAGAGAATGCCGTCAATCGAAGTCGCGGCAGGTGCCATTTCTACAATACAGGAGTCCCGTTTGTTACTAAAATATTTCGGCACGCATTATGTTGCGTACCCCAAATTATTTCAGAGTAAACTTCAACTACAGCAGCTAAGACGGTTCTTGAAGGTCATAAAGATCACAGCGAAATGTGATTTTCAGAGGATTCATCATAAATAAAGCACCTTTCTGACTTTACGGTATTCTTATATTACTAGCTTACAAAGCTTGCCAAGTTTAATCGAATGTAATTAAATTATTATCTTTTTAAACTATACTGAGTCTACTCAAGATAGTTCGTACTGGAACTATCCTGAATACTACTCTAAATACTTTCTGAAATGGGTACTTAGTGTCCTAGCTTAAATACTTTTGTTGAACATTTGGCACAACACTGCGTGATTTGCGTGGTGGTCGCACAATATGTCCCCAAAAAATAACGCCGAGTGTTTGAAAAGAACACACAATGTCAATAAGCATCGTATATAAGATAAAGCTGGTATTGTACGAGACTTGTTTATTTTTAGGACGAAATATAATGGCTTTCGTTTTGCTTGCGTTAATTTTTAGTGATTTTTCATTTGCCCATGAACTTAATTTGGATAATACTTTATTTGCGAGACCAATTAATAAATTAGAATCTCTGATAAAAAACTTGTGTCGTACTTCTTTATCTATATTAACTATATCATTCACATCTATGTTGAATAGGAACGGACCTAATATGCCGCCATGGTGAACACCAGACGTAATTGGTTTAACTGTAGAAGAAAAACAATTTAAATGCACATATTGCTGTCTATGTTTTAAGTACTAACTCAAAATGTTAGCGCGCGGCCGCAAAAAAACATAACGTTCAAGTTTTTGTAGTAGGATACCATGGGATTTAAACAATCAAAGGCTTTGGTGAAATCTATAAATACACCTAGATCGGACACCAATCGTAAGTTTAACTTTCGCCGTTGCGTCAGGGGGACCTGCGCGTGCGCATAAATCTTCTTGAAAACGGCTCATTTATAGAGAGTAACACCTCATTCACACGATCATAAATGTACTACCTTTAGCTAGACATTTTTGGTAGATTGGCGGATCAGTTCGGCGACCCTCCGCGTGTGGCATGTGCTAACGACCCATGAGCGCTGGCTCATTTGCCGAACGCAAGGAGCCCGTTCCTTTATGCTGACCGTCTGAATGGGGTAATACGTCATAAAATGAGTAAGGCCCATGTGGAATAATTTTATGATGTAACAGATTTTTTGCCAGTGCCCTTTTACCAATGCTGGCGCTCACAAAAACAAAGCTCCGCCCAATACTCGGTACGCCTTGGTGCACTGGACATCAAGTGAAGCTTTAATAATGCGAAAGAATTAACTGTCCCATGGAGCGAACCGACGTCATCAGCTTTTGAAGCTGCGCCAAACAGCGCCTTTCCCTCTCCCAATGAAGAAAAGCCTGCCGTCTGTAGCAGAAATCTGATGGATAGGCTCCCATTGGCTGGCGTGCGTCATAGTTTAGCTCCCATTGGCTCTCCCGCGGCGTAGTTCCAAGGAACGCCACCAGAAAAACCCTCCCCATGGCGGCGCAGCGTACGCAGCGGCCCGGCCGCCGATAAGAGGTGCGGGCCTGGCCGCTGAGCCCGCACGGGCAAACTCCGGAGAGGCTGCACGGCCGAGCTCAGCGCGGCGGGGCCATTTTACGAGAGCGCGCGCTCGGCAGTCGGCCGCTACCTCGGCAGTAGCGGAAGGTGGTCGTTCATGCCAGTACGTCGCAGACGAACTAAGGAAGAGGGAAGAACGACATTCATGCTTTGGCATTCACAACTCATAAAAAGTGGTTAGGTGTTCTCGGAATTTTTTTTTCTGGGCACTAAAGTAATTGTGCTGCGTGTTTATTCAGACAGCGAAAAGCTAGCCAGCTACAATGGGTGTCTGTTTTCTCCCATCAATATAAGGACTTTAGCCACTGAAGTACGGAAGCTAGTCTGGGTTTTTTTAACGCGAATTACACAGTAGTGATGCAGGACCGCACGCCGGTACGATGCTCATCGAGAACGAAAAGGTCGATGGTGTGGAAACTCAGAATCCCAGAGGTCTGCAGTGCGGGCTTTCGCTCTACGCGCACAAAGCTGCGGTGCGATAACGCACTCGGCCACCGGTCTCCCGCAGGGCGCTCTGAGAGCCAATAACTGCGATGCACGAAAAGAGCTCGGCAAATCAAGAAAAAAAAATGAGACCTTCAAATTAAAGTTTGCGATGTATGATGCTTCACATGCTCACCTCTTACCCAGCGTCCCATTCCAGACTTAATTTTTTGATGGCGAAGCTTTCTCTGGCCTTGTCATTTCACGAGTTCCCTACGCGAATCGCAGCGATCAGATCAAGAGTGCCCCGTGGTAAATACGGACGCATAACTGGCTGCCAGAAACTTTCGCATACTGTATGTACTACCTGGCAATGTACCTGACGCAACAATCATTACTGATCCATTCATCGGTTCAACCAATGAGAATGACGATTGTTATAATGCTCGAATGACCACGCGGTTTCAGTGACTAAATGGGTAGACGCCTTTATTTTACTTCTGAGACTACGGTACCACGATATCGATCTCAAATTTCATTAGCTGAAGCGATTATTAAACGACGTATTATTTGTATTCTGAGAAAATCGCGATGCAATTGACGGATGTAGAAAATTCCGAGCGTACTCGTCGAAACACAGCCAGACGCGATGTTTCGCAAGCCCTTGTTCTTCTTCGTTATTCTATGGGCCATCCACACTTTGTGATGTGGACGATCTTATAAGAACGAACCCAAGTGCTCGAGGAAAGCGAAAGCAGAACGTTGTCGGGAGATAGGCGCTCGAAGACTCTCCATCTTGTCGAAATACGCCGCCCACTCCAGAGATACCGAAACGGACGAGAAAAAGGCTGCCGCGAGGTTTGCTTGAACGCGTCTAAACAAACACGCAATGGATGCCGGACATACTTAGCTTATTCGCAGCTGCGACCTCGCGCGTTTATTCCACCTTCCCGTGTTTACCTCTCTCCCTGCCAGGGTACCGATTTTCGCTATCAACTATTGAGAAGTCTGGCTTTCTTTTCTCCGCTTCAAGTGATGGCGTCACCTTACCGCGAGATGAAAACTTTTAGAGCGCAGCTCTTAGGCGCCCATTTCCGCGTTTCGCGGCGTCAGCGTCGCCGTCGGCGAAACCGCCCCGCTAAACTTAGCGGGGAATTGAATTGGTGTTGAGGTTATAATGCAAAGGTGCAAGCGAGCTGGACAAGAATGACAATAATAACAATGTTGAGGTCACGTGACGTCCATTTTCCAGCTAAATCTAGCGGAGAAATTGAATTTGTTCATAGGTGACATGACACCGAGTCATGTGACGTCATTTTCCCCCCTCAATATAGCGGGGAAACTGAATTGGAGGAGGAAAGGAGAGCGGAGGATGGAGAAGGAGGGGAGGGTACGGAGGAGGAGGATGGGCATACTCTCCCCTCTATACCCTCCCCTAATCCTCCTCAAAAGCTACGCTCTAATTTCGCATTAGAAAGATTTGTAAAATTCTCATATTTTTGTTGTACTCCTAGGCTAAAGCTTTGTTTCAAAATGTGCCTAAATATTAGTTCATCTTATTTACCAGGCATTCCATTCAGTGGCGTCACAAAAAAGGGGGAGGAGGCGGCGGACCGCCCCGGTTGCTGCTAGGGACTGAAAAAGGGGGAGAAGGGGGGGGGGGGGGGGTCGCGGCGGGCCAGCGGGGTTGTTCGAGGGTAATTTTAAGGCAGTCTGAAATATTCTGGGACACTCCCGGTTTAGCATTCTCAGGGCAGCATAGCGAAACACCGTTAGTGCGAACACCACATTGGTGCCTGTTTGCAAGGTTTACGCAAGAGGTTTGCGTCGAGCGCGAGAGGTTTTGCTGCCTGAGTGTGTGATTCACATAAGTAAAGTTCGTCCCATCACCAATAATTCTAATAGCAGCCTTTCATTCGTTAATAAAAAAAAAGGCAAATGCTGTCGTATGGACGTGCATGTGAACCGTGCAGCACTGTATACATGCTCATATATTTTTTTTTCAGAGAGTCATACCTTTAAACTTATTAGCGACGTGCGCCACCAAAAGCGTCGCTGTGATCGGCATTCGCGATTGACCAAACTATAGTTTCTTATATATTAATAATGCCTGCCCAATATACTGATAATACCTGCCCAATCACCGGATGAAAGCGAGGAAAATCCATCCAATCACAGCGAGGCAGGGCGACACTGATATATCTCGGCGCTAATTGCGCTGGTCGATCTACTGCATTAAAAAAAGGAAGGCCAGTCAGTTCCCTTTCCTGAAGTACACGAGACAACGAATAGCAGGGTTCTGGTGAATGAGGAAGCTCAGCGCATAATTAGACCAAAACAAGCGATGCCCGCAAGGACAAAGAACACGACGTTCGACTTGCGCACTATCCCTGCGCACATCGCATTTTTCAGATCTAATCGTACAATGAGCGTCGTCATTCGCTATTGTTCGTAGTGATTGGCTGTCTCCGTCCTCCCCAGGCAAGTGAATTCACGTACTTTTTTTTAGAGGTTAATTTATCTTCCTGTGGCAACTATTCAACATTTGGTCACAACATTTAGCCGTTCAACACTGAGTCTGAGAAGTGACTAACGACTGATCTTTTCCTCTTCGATGGCCAAGAGGATCCCGGGATCACGAACAGACACCCCAGTTGGATCGGTGCCTGGTGGCTGGGATTCGTCGTCTGGGGATCGGCGATGGCCCTCATGTCCCTGCCCATGTCCCTCTTCCCCAAGAACATCCGGAGGCCCGCCTTCTCCGCCAACAAGCCTGAGGGGCCGGGTGGCAACAAAAGCGAGAAACCCGCACCCATGTCTCTGGTGGAAAAACTCAAAGACGACGCCAGAGGTAAGAATCTGCCGACCATACCCTATACTCAATCGTCCGAAACAGCAAGTCAAAGGAGTCTCATATTTTTTGTGTATGATTAACTTTAATACATGGCTTGCAATGACGTCACATGAGCCGCCATTGCTTCGTACCACGCTCCTGTGCCCGTACCTTCTGCAGCATAAATTTCGCCATATCAAAATTGTTCGTCTCGGCAAGACTTGCTGAGGAGAGCTTATTCACTGGTGCCAAGTGTATGGTGCAGAAGGTACGGGCACGTGAACAAGGTACGGTGCAATGGCGGCTGGTACTGTGCATGCCATACGACGTGACGTGCACGGGGTGTATACTACCCGCGCGTCTGATTTGCCGCAGAGCACATCTGAGAGTCACTCACCGCGATATAGGGTACACTGCAAGATCAGCGAACCGCAAAGTCAAAAAGGATTTTTGACTGACAAGCAGAGTTTGTGCTGTGACTCTGAGCAAGCCCGGGAGACATCATGTTCAGTGCCCCAGCGCAAACAATTTACAGATCGAAAAGTGTTTTTGTTGTTTGTGTAGCTTTGTCGTTTATCGACCCTTTTTGTAGATTTCTGTGCGTTGACCGGAGTGCTCTGTGGGAGAGAAAGCGCATGGGAATTTTTATGAAGTGTTGCAATCATTTTTACTTATTCCCAAGAGATTTTATTTAATGCGAATCGTTCGGCTTCAAGTATGGTACCCGTTCTTGGAGGTGCTGGAATATGGAGTTTAACATATCTAAAACCTCGGAGGCATGCTTATAACTAACTACATGCCTTCTGGCCTCAAAAATACGGCTATGCAACTATGTGTTTCAAGCGTGCCCCTCGACACACAGAAGGTGCTACATGTATACGCTGCCTCGCGATCAGCCGGGGAAAACATTTTTGGTCTTCTTTTAATTAGTTCGGGCAGTGAGAAGGGTGATGGGTATCGTGCCACTATTGTCATGCATGCTATCTCGGCGGGGGCGTCCACCGCTCCTGCCACCAAGCCTTAAGCGTGATAGCGACTGACGTTTTATTTTTTGAAATGATAAAAAGAGGACCAGTAATTAACACTTAAGTTTAACGCAAAAGAAAAAAAAATGAAGGCGCGTATGTTTAGACGGCCTGAGCTTAGTCTGCCGCAACGGGCGACTTGTCTCTCAGCGGTAGATGAGAAATTTAGCCAGTGTAGTACACCCGCCAGCCTGGAGTCTTTAACGTGCACCACGCAGTAGTGTTACACGGCCGCACGCCTGTACGATGCTCATCCTGATCGAAACGGGCAGGTGTGGGGAGTGAACCCCTGAGTTCTGCAGCGCGAGCTTTCGTTCCACGTGCTCCAAGCTAAAAGTTGATCGCGAAGAGGTGTGTGCCCTGCAGCTTCTGAGAAGGTACCACAACGGAGACAAACCTTTGCGCTGAGATTCGCTGTTTGACACGAGGCTATGTGTGGCACCTTTATTAAATTTCAAGCTGAGATTCCGCCTACGTTTTTACATATCGCATGGTCGAATTAAATAAAAGATGGAAAATACCGAGTGTATCTGCGAAGACGTAGAAGAACGGGGATGATATTCTTATCATTCGCGTTTCCGCATCACCGGCCTTGAACCTGCTGAACGAGAGGTAACTTTAGCGCACCCCCACGCTAGCCGCGTACTCCAAGTCCTTCTAAAATTTACTAATTTAGGGGCGATAACGATCAACAAGTTTCTGGTTGGAACCATGTGTTTATTTTCCCACAATGAAACGTTGATTAGTAAATGTTAGGTAATCATTCTGCTCACTAGTTGATTTTCCAGCTCCCTGACGTCCGTCGTGGCTGGTCAGTTTGTTGCCGAAAATATTTTTTTCTCTCTTTTTTTCTTCTGAAACACCCTATTTTTAGGAATTTATAAAAGTATTATCACAAACACCCGGTATATGTGCCATATCAACACTCCCCATGGGCTTTTAAGCTATCACCACCTCTGAATCGGGTTTATATGCGCGTGATTTTCGCTCTCTTACAAATGACTCAACCGTTTTTTTAGAGCGCAGCTCTTAGGCGTCCGTTTCCGTGTTGAGCGGCGTCAGCGTCAGCGTCGCACTCGACGTCGGCGTCGGCGTAACCGCCCCTCTAAATTTAGCGGGAAATTGAATTAGTGTTGAGGTCACGTGACGTCAATTTTACCGTTAAAACTAGCGAAGAAACTGAATTTGTTCATGGGTGATGTGACACAAAGTCCTGGGACGTCATTTTCCCCCTCTAAATTTAACCGGAAAATTTCTCTGTTAAATTTAGCAAGGAAATTTTCGCTAAATTTAGAGGAAAATATAGCGGGGAAATTTAACGGTAGGAGGGGAGGAGGAGGAAAGGAGGAGGAGGACAGAGGAGGACAGAGGGGTAAGAAGGATTAAGGGAGGAGGATAGAGGAAGAGGAGGAGGAGGGGAGGAGGTCAGGGGAAGAGGAGGAAGAGGAGATGAGGAGGGGAGAAGGAGGGGAGGGTACGGAAGAGGACGAGGGGCATACCCTCCCCTCCGTACCCCACCCTCCTCCTCTCTAAGAGCTGCGCTTTAGTTTCGCATTACAAAGATTTGTAAACGTCCTTAATTTTTTTTTACGTCATTCTTTGGGGTGAAATTATCGATAGTCATTTCCCGCGTTCTCTTTCAGAGATGAGACTGGCGATGGGCCGTTTGTGCAAGAATCCGGTGCTGATGTGGAAGATTGCAACGTTGGTTTTTATTTTCAACGGTGTGGGGGGATACGTCAGCATGTTCCCAAAGTACGTTGAGAACCAGTATCGCGTATCGGCGTCCAAGTCCAATTTATTCACAGGTAAGAAAGTGCATGATGTATCGAATGATACCATTTGTATTTCACGTGACATTCAAGTTTGGTTGGTGAAACTTTCGCGCTCTAGCTTTTCTTTCTAAACGCTAACAGAGCATACTGGACAGTAAATACTGACACCATCAGTTAAATTATGGGTTCCTCGTATCTCGTTAACAACAGCTAGCACTTTCCATGCTAGTAAGATTTGAATTACAATATTCCTTGTGGACCGTCTGTTTATAGCGTGGCTGATATAACCAGGCTCGATCTAAATTAGACCGTAAAAGTCGGCGCCTGAACGAAGCAATCTTAAGTTTTTGTTTAAGGTGTATTTCACAGGTAGTTTTTATCTTGTAAGATCACAAAGCGTAGCTACCTTTCTGTAAAAGATAGGGCCAAAGAACTTGCCGGGGTTCAACGGCGGACGCCGACGCAGACAACCGAGTCGAATGGCAGGGCGCGTTTGGCGCACGTTTTGATAGATGGCGTCGGGAGCAACGTCGGAAGGTGTAGCCACTGACCTCTATGACAATTGCTGGATTGCGTTTGCCCGCTCCGCGAATGCGGTCACTGGCGGCCATCTTTAGGTAGAGTTATATCACCTCTAGCCAATGTAAGCTGCTGCAGCCGCTATCATTCATCCATGGCAGATAGCGTTTTGGCAGGTGGGTTGGCAGCAGTTGGCAGGCTGCGGTCAAAATAGCGTGGGTGATATTGCGTGCTTGATTAAAATTATTTGACGAAACATGTTTTTGAAACCCGGCGTGAACAGTAGTCCGGTTTTTGAGGACCTGGTAAAAGTTTCACGAAATCGCAGCACCGGGAGAAAAGCAGCACAGCACGTATCGAAAGTCGCATCGAAAGAAGCATCGAAAGCAGACGACGGTACGGAGTCTGCTTTTGATGCAAGCTGCGCTGCTTTCCCCCGGTGCTGCGCTTTTGTAGAACTTTTTCCGGGTCCTCAAAGATGAGGCTACCGTTCACGCCGGGTTTCAAGAATCTGCTTTGTCGAACAACTTCAATCAAGCACGAAATGTCACCCACGGTCCAGTGTACTAGATCTACGGCTATTTTTATGGCAGCCTGCCGCCATTGCGCTGTCCGCCATATTACTATGATGGCTAGAGATGATATAACTCTACCTAAAGATGGCCGCCAGTGACCGCATTCCGGTCCATAGGAGCAGCTGGTCAAACGCGATCCAGCAAATAGACATAGAGATCAGTGGGTGTAGCCGACCAGCGAAAGAAAACAGACGCCACGCAGACGAAATCCGTTGGCAGCAAAAGCGCGTTCATTTAAAAATTTGTTTTACTTTGAGTTTTTTTTTAAATTATTGTCCACATTTATTTTTAAACCGAAGGTAAATTATAAAAAGATTATATTAATTTCAATAGACCACAGTGGTCGCGAGCAGTCTCGACAATGAGGTAGCGCCATCTATCAATACGCGCGCAAAACGCGTCTCGCCACTCGACTCGGTCGTCTGCGTCGCCGCCCGCCGTTGACCCTGGCAAGTTTCTTGGCTCTATTTTAAACAGAAAGGGAGCTACGCTTTGTAATTTTACAAGAAAAAACCGACCCGTGAAATACACCTTTGATGAAAAGCTTAGATTGCTTCGTGCAGGCGCCGATTTTTCCGGCCCATCTTAGATAGAGCTCGGTTATTTCAGTCACCTTATACAGATGCATATTTCTGCTCGTTTGGTCTTTTACTTATCGAGTAGATTTATTGTTCTCCTGGTTTAACCAACCATACCTCTCGTTTATGCCACGTGCATAATTTTGTTACGCAACATGATTTTAACAATTTGGAGTGCCGCCCCCCTCCCCTTCCCCCTTCTTAACTAATCATCACAAATCTGCACCTACAGATGGGTTCTGTTGCTCTTGGGACACACCTAAAAAAAAAAGGCAGCGACCTTTACTTTTAAAGTCCTATAATTCTTGAAATTCTCTGAGAATTGGTGAGGGCAATGGTATGTCATGTGACCTATATTTTCCCGCTAAAGTTAGCGGGAAAACTGAATGGTTATATAGGTCAGGTGACGTCGATTTTTCTTGCTAAATTTAGCGGAGAAACTGGATTGGTCTCCGCGTCTCAAGACGTGAATGTTTCCGCAGCGGGTAACTAAATTTGTGCGTAGGTCATGTGACGTCATTTTTTCCGCTAAATTTAGAAAGGGAACCTGAATTGATGTTTTGTTTGCCACAAGACGTAAATTTCCCCGCTAAAGTTAGCGGGGAAACTGAGTTGACGTATAGGTCACATGCCGGCAATCTCTCCCAACATGTATAGATCACGTGGCACCACATGGCACCACTTTCTCCGCTAAATTTCGTGGGAAATGCACGGAAAGACGGACGCACGGGCACAACTTTGGGATTGGAGGGTAGTGTTAAAAGCATTTCATGCTTTAAAGTAAAGATCAGTCCTGGGGGAATCCTCAGTACAGCCAGAGAGCCATAGCTGCGACACCTTACCGGGTCCTGATGTATACGTATCTTGCAGTGACAATGTCTCTCGCAACTTAGATTGAGAAATCATCTCCAATGTCTGCTCGGAGGGTGACACACTAATCTGTACCTATAAAACAATCTTAATAGATAATGTCACCTGAGTACTAGTGTAATCACCTGACATTATGACGCCATGTGACACCACCATGTCACGCGACAGCGTTACATCGTGGCGTCACATGAGATTACGATGTGACATGACTCTGTGGCATCCCGGTTTGACGAGACAATATTGACGACGGATCTCCTACGCCCTACATAATTTGGAGGGGGGAGAAAAAAAATGCCCCTAACTTAACTATTGCTGCAGAAAATAAAACAATTAGTGAATTATTGCAAAGATCAACGAAATCCGAGAAGTTGATTTCGCGCATTCCTTTCCTCGTGACGCAGGCCCCACAAAGATCATGGCAATGATGGTGGGACTGTTCCTCGGAGGCGTCATCATCCGCATATGGAAGCCCCGGGCCCGCACCATCGGGTTACTGTCGGCCTTCAGCGACTTTGTGGACATCATGTTCCTCTCGGCGGGCATGTACCTGGGCTGCTCGAACTGGCAGCTGGCGGGAACCGAGGTCAACGAAAGTGGCAGGTGAGGGGTAGGACAACAGGTCTGTACTTTTTTAGTCGGGAGTCGAGTATGGAGACACATCCTGGGATAGTGAAGGCTGAATCGCTCTCTAAAGCCTCAGTCATACTGCTAGTGCATCATACAAAAGACAGTACGCAGAAACTGTCTGAGGCGCGTTTCTTTCTTGTACGACGGGCCTGTCACATCGGGCATACAAGAACTGTCTGCAAACTTGTTCGAAACATACATATATGTTTGAAGCAAACATGCTCCGAACAAGTTTGAGGCTGGTCCACAGATAAATTCTGTCATCAGGTCTAAAACGAACACTGCCTCTTATGTACAATGTATGAGCAGAGTTACTGTGGCTTAAAAAAATATGGTGCGTCAATTTCTCCGCAGAGAATTTAGACACGGCGGAAGAAGCGAGAGTTGTCTCAACAAGGCCAGCCAAGGCGGTAGATGTTTGCTCCGGCTCCGCGTCTCTTCCGACAGAGCTCTGTCTGTCGGTATTAGGGGCCGTCGCCTATAAGGGGGCTTATGAGTGGTTCTCATCGGCCCCTTCATACCCATTAAGGTACCTTTAGACATGTTGCGCCATATCTCACGGCGTTTGCTAAAAATGCGAACGAACCTTCGCCACACGTGCTTCATGGCGAGACGGCACAGTTAAGACACCTCTCTTTCTCCTTCCGCGTTTCACCGTGCACTTGGCAGAGCCAATCACTACACTCTACGGAAAAGGCTAGGCATAGAACGAGGCTGAAAGTATATATATAGACCTAAAGAAAGACGGTCTGCGCATGAAGTTCCACGTGATATGTCATACTCGGTGTCACAGTGCAAACTGTCTTTGTAAGGACTAAACATGTTTCCAGCTTCCTCGTTTGTCAACCTCACGCCGCACATCGCAGCGACTGGATCTCCCATCAAGTGCTTTGCTGGAAATTAGGCAGATCAAGTTCTTAGAATGGCGCAGTGGTATACGCCGAGCGAGCGTTCCAAAACCATTCTTTGGCGCTTTGGGACAAAGGGAAAGGGCATGACAATCAGAGGGCAACACAGAGAACGCCCAGTGGACGCGGGATGGCAAGACAGACGAGCGTGTACGCACCGTCGTTGGTTGAGGCTGAGGGAAAACAAAAGCACACAGGCTGATTTAAGGGGGATAAAAACAAACGCACGAACGTGCAAGGAGCAGACGAACTTCCACGGCGTATACGCTCAGAGGCGCCTGCATATGTGGAATACTAAGAAATGCCGGCACTTCTGAGCGCATTCAGCGAATGGCGAAACACAAGAGAGAGGGTCGCCTGGAAAACTCAAATTGCACAAAAATTTCCTCAATTGCCTCCGCGCAGATTTTGTTTTTGAGTCGAACGGATTTTAGTGTCTCGTCATTTGGCTCTGCGCTGAAGTAAACACACAAGTATTTCTTTCGGGAATTTTGCCCCGCGATGCACGCGGAACGCCAATAATTGGTCTTCAATAAATTCAAGAATTGAGGAGAACGATAAAATAACGATTCAATAGCTATGCGGTACCGGCGACATAAGGAGTATACTGCTCGCCCTTCTTAGTGGTCATCCTGAATTAAAGGAATACCAAGGATTCTTGTCTTCAGCGTATCGCGGGTCAGTATCGCAATTAGATACTTCTGAGGATGTAAGCTGTAATAAATGCAAAATTAATGCTAAATTTAAAACTTAAAAAAAAATCGCATTTTTGCATCACTAAAAGTAAAAATTACAAACACACGGAACAAAAATGTTGGAAGCGTGGCTGATTTGATGATTCTCAAATACTGATTACAAATACTTCAGCTGCTCTCAGTTCATTCGTCGACCTTTCTTTTTTTATTGTTCATCACATTTTTGTTTGTTCGGTCTTAACATGATTCACCCCAGGCACAATGAGATATCTCACTCTGAGAAATAAACAAGCCTATTTCCGCCAATAACGTAACGTGAGCCATACGTGAAGTCTGCAACGTTTTTACTGGCAATTGTTTCTACTTTGTGATTTCGCACATTCAAACGTATCCCCGTGATTAAACTTTGGTTCTGTCTTCAATTTTTATCATCGATTACGCCACTCTCGCCTTCTAGTGTCCGCATCCCCCCTCCCCCCTTTTTTAAGAGACCTTTTGCATCTTTTAAGTAATCTCCCAATGACAATGAGAAACATTTTCTTTGCACATAACTCTGTCCGCTGTAGACAAAAATCTAAGAGTAAAGTACTTTGCAGTAAAAACAATGCACACCACAGAAGTTCGCCGAGTTTATTGTACAAGAGGGGTTTGTCCAGAATTTTCACTGTAAATTCTGAAACTTGTGCTAGGCTGATATGGGCTCAGCCTTTTTTTCTGTGTGTATGTGGGGATGGGGGGGGGGGGGGGGGGGTATGAGTCACTAATATACTGTATTTGAGAAATTATTTAGTAGTCGTCCATTAATAACTTCAACCGATAACAAATAAATCTGTACATGCAGTATCAGTGGCAAAAGACACCACAGAGACTGCATTCCCATCGCAGCATCACACTGATTTCCCTCCCATTGGTTGAACTGACTAAGAAAGAGCAATGATTCGTGGATCCGCTGGATCGCTGGGAAGTAACCATGATAATTTAAAGCGCACGAATGACAATCTAAAGAACATTTGTCGCTTGATCTACAGCATGTATGTCCGCAAATAATTACCGTTCTTCAATTATTTCTTGGACATTGTGGTACGGTTGCCGTTACAACTCCGTCTTTGAACTATTGAGAACACAACCTATTGAGAACACAACAAAAATAAATAAAATGCGTGCTATTAATATATGCATTTTTTACAGGATGTCTATTGCGAATTCGTGCAACGAAGGCTGCGACTGCACTACCAGGTCCTTCCAGCCAGTTTGTGACGTCGCTCAACGGGCAACCTACTTTTCGCCATGTGCCGCTGGCTGTTTTGACCGTGGGAACGTAAGCTCATTTTCATCAAGCTGCGGTCTTCTCAAAAGACAAAAAAACAAAAAACAAAAAACATATTCCCTTGAGACAATATAAGAAACAGAGCGCAGCCAAGTCAGTATATTTGTCGTTCAGCATAAATAATTAAAACCATTGCTTTTCCCATTCCCGACTTGTGACTAACCTCGCGGTTTTAAGCAGATCGTTCTGAGGTGTACCTGATGCAGTCACTGACGGTTCTCTCTCTACCACTACAAATTGCTTGCTTAGTTGTGCGTTCCCCACCGAGAGAACGGGACTGCAACTGTTAGCATAAGCTGCCCTATTGTGAAGACAGTTCACACCAACGTCACACAAATTCAGCTCCTCGTCACACACGTGTTGAACACGTACGCTTTTATACTCTCACAAATATCTGGAGACAGCACTGCGCCTTATTCGACCAACCCACTATATAGTTAGACACTTGTTAAAAACGCGCCAGCAGGTCTTCCGACGCCATTGTTACCTCCAGCTGCTGTTACTTCGCGAACGCACAAATAGTTCGCTACCGAGGAAGATATTGTATGTATGTTGATCAATGGCGCACCCATTTTGAAAACGCGCTTACGTCTCATACGAGGGCGTGGCTGATACGGGTGCTTATCGTTTAGCGTATGCTAACTGTTGTCTCACTATGGTCTTCCGATACGAGATGCAGCGGATTCTCATCATGTTAACAGGTGTCACACACGCACACACGCAGGGGAGCATGTATTGCACGTGCATCGCCGGAAACTCCAGTTCCCCGACCGGGTTTGGACTTGCCAATGTGGAGGACGGCTTCTGCGAGTTCCCATGCGGGAACCTGTACCTACTCGTGATTCTCATCAGCGTCGGCAAGCTGATCGGGCAGCTGCCTAGGGTCGGAGGCATGCTTATCACTCTCAGGTGAGCTAGAGACGTCTCCAGCGTTGAGACCCCATGGCATTTGCAATTTGCAACAACTGTTGCGGGCACTGGCGTTCAGCCGAGGCGCTTTTTTTTTTTCTTCTTTTTTTTCGTTGGTCTTTTCAATAACCTTAAAATCAGCTGATGAATTTCGGAACTCTTTTCTTCTCACCGGTCAGAATTTACAAGATTTTGAAGTCGTAACACTAACAACGTCGGATGTAAAAAAAAAAAAAAAGAAGTGTTATGTTTAAACGTTTTCGAGTGGTTGAAGTAGCATGCTCGTTTTCAGCCAGATCCGACTCAGCAATTTTTGTTGCAGAGTGGTTCTTTATATAGAGCAACTCGTCAACAACCCCGAAATTGCTGGCAGAATTGCTGCCTTTGAAGCTGCTCATAGAATCGAAGGATTATCTTTGAAACTACTAATGAGATAGAAAGTGCTAATTTGGCGCACTAACCTAAGTGGTCAAACTTAATTGCCGTAAATATACCCTTTCAAAGTAAAATTCAAAATCACCTATGTCGTGTTCGCGCAATCAGTGTCGTGCATTTTATACTTACAGGTTTATACAATCGCACCTTACATATTCACTTTTTCTTGTAGGTGCGTTCACCCTGCTGACAAAGGCATAGCGATGGGATTAATGGGACTCTGCTTCAACCTTTTAGGTAAGTCGCATCGTCAACACAAAGTCTTCTTAAACAAGATCCCTGCTTATTGACGGGGTCAAAGAAATCGCCGAAATAACTGACTGCATCGAAGTTTAATACCACGAGACATTTTAATCACCTTACACCTTAGACACAGGAGACACCCACACACCCAATTACAAACATAAACCTGCCATATTTTAATGTGGTCAGGGGGAAAACGAGAAAACGAATACAAAATTCTTCAGTTTATACCAAGCAAAACTTGTTTGGCTGCACGAAAATACGGGACAAGAGAACAAATAAAATGAACAAAATACGAGGACTCTCAAACTTCAAAGGTTTGTGATTTTTGGTCCAATTTGTTTGTTCCATCGAACCTACGAGCTGACGGGACCAATGAGACAGCTTTAAAAGCGCATTATGACGGTGTTCGTCACGTTTCTGTACGTGAATTCTATCATCGCTGAACCAATCACAAACAAGAAAAGGCCCAGTGACTTTCGCTTTTGACGTTGCTTGATTGGTGCCAGTATAGCTGGTAGCGTAGGCTGCGTCTTGCATGCCTTACTCCGAAACGAAGTATAGTTCCGGGTGGTGGTTCTCGAACAATCCGATCTCGATCACCGACTTTATGTTGTGGTACTCTACAACCGCAGTTACACTGCTAATGCCCGAGTCTCACTTGGGCGACAAACAGAAACAACCGACAGCGACAATGTTCAAACCAGATTCTTTCGCAACTTGACAGGCTTTGTAGAATAAAGGAAGCTGTGCTCAAACACGATCATCATGCACGCGAGGGTATCTTTGGCAGGCTTGCAATCACTTGTGCTTATACTTCACGAGCACCGAAAGACTAGACGCCTGCCAAAGGCACCACCGCGAGCATACTGCATGTGTTTGAGGCTTGTCGCTGTCGTTTGTTTCTGCTAGTCGCTCTAGTGGGACTCGGGCATAATACATCACACAAAATACAGTCTGTAGACACTGTCTAAGGCTTGTCTCTTCCTTGTATGACGGTCACATTGACCATACAAAAACTTTTCGCAGACATTTTCGAAGGCATGTATGCGGGAAATAGGCTTCCACCATGATTGATGTGTGTCCGCAGATGCTTCTGCTATCATATGTCTGCCGCGAACACCGTGTCTTTTCTATGATGCATACGAGCAGTCCGACTGCGGCTTCAAAGAAAGCGAGCACACGAAGGTCATAAACTCGAAACCTTTCTGTGCTTCGTTGAATTTTTTTTTGTTCAGTAGTTTTCGGTTTTTGATACGTTGGAAAGTTATTGGCTCTCGTGTCTTTTAAAGATTACGTCTAAAACCTGGGCGTCTTAGTTCCGGGATATCCATATATCAAAAGATCGTGCGCAGAGAGAACAGTAACGATCTGACAGGAGAGTTAACTCTCCTTGAGTGGTTATCTACTTGCAGTACATGACGAAAATAATCCCTGGAGAAGGGGAACAAGAGGGGCAAAGGACAAACGCAAATCTCCAAACACAGCTAGGTGCTGGTGCGCGACCGAAAAAATCCGCCTGGTCCCGATATCGAACCCGGGACCCGAGTCCCTTGTCCCTCTTGTTTCCCTTCTCCAGGGATTCAGGGATTATTTTCGTAATTCTCGTCCACCTCGCTTGAACCTTTGCATTTAAATGTATTATATTCATAAATTTAAAATGCAAGCCTTTCACCCTTCTTGGTATTACACTGGTGGCAGCTAATAAAACGTGTCTGCTCTACTGACGTCTAACCCCTGGTTAGCTCAGTTGGTAGAGCGCGCCACTGGAAATGGAGAGGTCCCGGGTTCGATACCCGGACCAAGCGGATCTTTTCGGTCGCGCACCAGTTACCTAGCTGTTTTTGGAGATCTGTGTTTGTCCTTTGTCACTCTTGTTCCCGTTCTCCAGGGATTATTTTTGTCATTCTCGTCCAGCTCGCAAGCACCTTTGCATTTAAATACATTATATGCAGTACATGCTGGCTATTTTTTATGATGATACGTAAGAAAAAAACCAGCAGTGTGTCACCGGTCACTGACCGATCGTATTTCCGTAGTAATCAACCGGACAGTACAGAAATATTCGCGTGGCACCTTTAAGCTTGTCGCGGTCTGCTTACAAGGTTCGTGTCAATTGAGAGCTTTCTCGGACCGCTGTAACTTTGAAATGATGAAAATCTCGAAAACAGCAACGGAACCTCGAACCGACAGTGGACCCTCGGAAACAACAACGGAAGCCATCAATTAGGAGCCGGACAGTTTCGCTAGGCAATAAATCACTGTTTCGTAAAGAATAGCCAAAAAAAATGAGGCAAGAAATAATAGGCGCATCAATTCGCCTTGAAAGACAATAACCACTCGCTGTATTTTAGTTTTTGACGTCAGGCTTCTTTTCTAAACGAAGCAACCATACACTTACTGTAAAATAGGTCGACCTCTTAGAGCAAGGCATGTACGCATATAGACTATTGAAAGCAAGGCGACTGGCCGCAACCACGTCTCTACTCGCGCGGGAAAGCCCGTGCGATTTAAGCTTGCCAAAGCTATCTTCACGGGTACAATGTACGTTCTTGCACACATGGGATACCAGTCGGGGTGCCATGCTTGCAATTGTCTATACGCAGTCCCAACGGAAAACCGATTCTTTGGTCTTATGGAAGAGATTGAGTGACTAACGAGGCGCTGATGGATTCAGAAATAATGAGCACGTGAACGTGTACATGCTCACCGTCCAAGGTCGCAGGTCCTGTTTTGAATTTGGCTTGTGTATATATCAAATTCTCTACTCAAAATAATGTATTTCAAGTACTTTTTATAGTAATTTGGTATCTTGCAAATAAATTGGATCGAGAATATTTGCTGCTCTATGTTAATTACATTTCTGACTTCTTACACAGATTATCTCAAATACTTTATTCAACGTTCGAAGGAATTTGTACGTGTAATATTTTACGGGAATATGGATCGGCACACCTTGGTGCAAAGCTGAACCGATTGCAAAATTCGTAGCGGAAGCGGCCGGAAACTAAGCAGGGAACAAGCCAGGAAAAAAATGCAAATCTAAAATGGCAAGAAATATCAAACAAAGGAACAGATAAAATGAAATAATAACTGAACACACACACAAAAGACAAACGTTCTTTTTGTTCTTTTTTACTTTGACTCCGCTTATGGAAATACTGAATCTGGAATTATCTTTGAAAATAACTTACTTGCATTTGGAAGTATTTGTACTCCACTCAAAATATATTGGCAAAGTGCCTTGAGTAGTACTTTAAAAACTTTCTGAAGCAGTATTCAGTAACTTATTTTAAGTACTTTTGTCGAGTACCTTGTCCGATACTCTTTGGAACCCAAATGGTATCCTGGTCTTGTTATTCGCTGCGATTCTTTCAAAAGCACAAAACTTTGGCGTACGCGTGCCGTGCAGGAAGGTAACTTTCGGGTTCCATTTAAGTCGGGGTTGTAGCCTTGTTTGCATGTCCGCCACTAATAAAAAGAAGCCACTTTCATTCTTCTATCAAATGAACTAACATATCTTAAGAGAAGTTACTGAATTCCAATATCTGGCTCTGTGGATCAGTTTCGATCTTAGATGGGGTAAACAGATCAATTTAATTTCCTCTAACGCCCTCCGTAAATTATTTTCTTTTTCAAACGAACACTAAAATCAGCCACTACAGATACTCGACTTCTGGCGCACAAGACTCTTATCCGACCGATTCTAGAGTATGCGAACAATATTTGGGACCCATTTACACAGGTAGAAAATAATCGCGTACAACGAATACAAAATAAAGTTGTCACATTAATTTTTAATGCTTGTAAGAAGGCGTCCATTTCCGAGCTTAGCGAAAATCTTGGGTGTGTCCCGGTTCAAGAATGGAACCGTGAATGAAGACTTCGTTCTTTTTATTTAAATTGATTAAGGGGCAGTATAAAATTAACGTTGACAAATATATCACCTTCTCTACTGGTTACGCCACCCGAGGAAGAACCCTACTTTCCATTGCACCTTACCAACCGCGCATCAACATTTTCAACTTCCCCTTGTTTCCTCGAACGATTGTAGAATGAAATGGGCTTCCTTACGAAATTGCTAACCACGACTCTGTAAGTCTCTTTGTTTCCGCTTTGTGTACTGAATGAGTAACTCCTTGGTACTTTAAAGCTTCGTTTTGTGTTACTTTCCACCCTGCTACGATCACTGATAGGGATTAGCAGTATTTGTAAACATTGGCCTTACCTTGTTGGTGCGGCCAGTGGTTAGCGTTGTCCAGATACCAAGAATCGCTGTCAACTTAAGAAACATATATAAGGAGCGGGTTATGTTTATGCTTCTTGCGCCGTGATTCGTTTCTCGGCGTTCTGATCGGAGCTCTAATCGACACACCCATTCTTGTTTCGCAGCGGCCGTGCCGTACCCTCTGATCTACTCGGCCATCTTCGACGCCACCTGTCTGGTGTGGGAGGAACGCGGAGGACGGCGCGGAAACTGTTGGTTCTACGACGTGGACAAGCTGCGCTTCGCCTACCACGGCGTCACGATCGTCTTCCTGGGCCTGGGCCTCATCTGCCAGCTGGTCATGTCCTACTACGCCAAGCGGGTCACGGACATGTACGGGGACGCAGAGGGCCACGCCGAGGACGCCGTCACGTCCACTCGGGAGGATGGTGCCATCGAGATGAAGAACAAGAGAGACGCTGAACAAAGCTAGGATCAAGCTGTCAACCCTGCTCGTTGCCTGGAACGTTACGATGTTTGCACTGTCAGGCAAAGCGCCCCTTTCGTCTGCCACTTTTGCAAGCGGAAAAGCGGGCGATGGATCCCAGACATCTGGGTGGTTCTGGCCAGTCCGGTGTATATAGAAAAGGCAGGTTGCGAGAATTGTCACGATCAGAGCTTTATATAATCACCTTGGTCATGATAACGTCGCATGCAAAGAAATAATTCTTGTTCTAAACAGAAGGGGAACTTCACACAGGCCTCGATTCATCTTGGACGCGGCTACTAGAAACGCAGCGTCTCATAATTCTTAATCGTTCGTAGAATATTTTGTTTTTCCTGAGTGTCATACGTTTTGTTTAGGAAATCGGGCTCAATCCCATTGGGTTGATGACGGCTGGGTTCGAATATCGAAGAACCTAATGTCCTAGTTGACATGTCTTTTCGGCAGAAAATATCTGACAGGTTCATTGCGCCGAAACATCTGGTGAAACAGCCCCGGGGAGTAGTCTCCTCGTAATCTGTCACACGGCAATGGCGTCGCTCGAAAGTGTGAATACTATAGATATTGCTGAGACTACCCGAGAAGCGAGATATGCATTCTGGTTTATGTAGAATCTCTGGTAATAGAATTGGCAGTACTCTTGGGTAGCCATTGACGACGACTTGTTACGGCATTTCTAGACTGCTCGTGTAGGGGAACCATATACCGAGTGTCGAGTTTCCTCTTTGAGGCAATGATAGTATATTCTTTTTTTGCCAAATAAAAAATAAATTTTGAAACTAAATAACGCAATGTGCTATTGTAAGACCGCGATATAGAAGAGTATTCGGTTTCATGTTAAAGGGGACGCGCAACGAATTGTACAAGCCTGAGTTCAGACGTTTCGAAGCTGCTTTCCCAGCAAGGGCTGACTTCGCGCAAGCAACGCTCGTCTGAGCTTAGCGCACGAGAAAGTGAAACGGATCATATATGAGGAGGTTTAACCGACCATTAGATTTCATATAACATTTTTATACTTTCTCGAGTGCGAACTTCACCGTAATGCACTTAACTCACATATAACTGGTTTTCTTTCGATCAGCTTAATCAATAAAAAAGGTCATCGTTGTCAGGCTCTTACGGTCGTGCAGTCTCTGCGGTAAAAAGGCGTCAAATTCTAATTCACTGAGGCCGCATGGCTATTGGAACACGTGAGCGAACGCTCTGCTAATTGTTTGACGTTTCGAAGCTGCTTTCCCAGCAAGGGCTGACTTCGCGCAAGCAACGCTCGTCTGAACTTAGCGCACGTGAAAGTGAAACGGATCATATATGAGGAGGTTTAACCGACCATTAGATTTCATATAACATTTTTATACTTTTTCGAGTGCAAACTTCACCGCAATGCACTTAACACACATATAACTGGTCAGGCACGTAGCCAGGATTTTGATTCGGGGGGGGGGGGGGGGGGGGGGGGGCACCCATGACAAAATGCTGTATGAGCGGGGGGGGGGGGGGGGGGGAGAGGAGGACCCATGCGAAATGGAAGATTTTGGGGGGGGGGGGCCGGGTCCCATGGGCCTCCCCCCTGGTTACGTGCCTGTAACTGGTTTTCTTTTGATCAGCTTAACTAATAAAGAAGGTCATCGTTCTCATGCTCTTCCGGTCGTGCAGTCTCTGTGGTAAAAAGGCATCAAATTCTAATTCACTGAGGCCGCATGGCTATTGGAACACGAAAGCAAGTGCTCTGCTAATTATTTTAACATATCAACCAAAGGACAGGGATTGGTACTCCCATGACATTTCGAGGTGGGGTGGGGTGGGGGGGGGGGGGGGGGGGGGGTGAATTGAGAGTACCGAGTTTGCATGCTTGTCGCCGAATTTCGAAACTATACTGTTATTGGTGATGTTGCTCTACAGTTACAGCTCTTGTCAAATAATAATAATAAAAAGCCGCTACGTACATCTTAATAAAACAACTTACTTAGCACATCTGCCAAAGTAAAAAATTGTAAGGACTGTGCAATATTGCGGGTATTGTGTTTAGCTGCAACACTGTGTGGTATTGCACCACTGTGTGACGCAGGTAATAACAAATCTATGTATAATAGAGTACCCACTTCGCGGCACAGATAACAGATGACACAAACACGACATCGCTGCTGGGCGCTTTTCCACATTTTTCATTGCGGTTCATCATATTTCACCACCAAGTTGGTGCCTAGCATGAGCACATTCTGCCACAAGTATTATCTTTGACAATAATAATCCCTGCAGAAGGGGAACAAGGGGGACAAAGGACAAACGCAAATCCCCAAACCACAACTGGCTGACTGGTGCGCGACCGAAAAAATCCGCCTGGTCTTGGTATCGAACCGGGGACCTCTCCATTTCCAGTGGAGCGCTTTACCAATTGAGCTAACCAGGAGTTAGATTTCAGTAGAGCAAACAGGTTTTATAAACTGCTACCAGTCCAACACCAAGGGTGCACGGTCTGCATTTTAATGTGATGATAATAATAACATTTATGCAAAGGTGCAAGCGAGCTCCAGGTTTGCTCAAATGGTAGAGCGCTCTACTGGAGATGGAGGGGTCTCTTGTTTGATACTAGGACCAGGCGGATTTTGTCGGTCGCGTACCAGTCACCTAGCTGTGTTTAGAGATTGGTGTTTGTCCTTTGTTTCCTTTCTCCAGGGATCATTATCGTAATTCTTGTCCAGCTCACTTGCACCTTTGTATTAATTACGTTACTATATTGTGACTGAAAAAAATGATAAAGCCGCCGATCGCTTGTTATTGTTAACTGATCGCGCTCTGTAACATATGCTTTTAGCATTACGTTATATAAAGTGTTGAGTAAAATACTAGACACAAAATTCATTTACTGAACTAAACTGCAAAAAAAAGGCAAAATTTGTACTTCAAGTGTACGTGTAATATACCTGTGCTTTAAAGTACACGTCTATTTATTTGAAGCAATTTTTCTTGGTCATTCCTTTTCCTCGCGATACATATACCAACGTACCAAAATTACCAGTTACCTAGTAAGAGCAAGCAACAAGAGCAGCAGTGCAGTTCGTAGTTTATTAGGCTAGGACTTGGTAGATTGTTCGGCGAAGTAATTCGCCAAGCAATCTTCTTGGTGGTTTTCAGTGTTTGACATGCCTGAGCAGTACCTTGAACGCTGTTAGGTAGCCAGGCCCTGGATGGATACGTCATTTGAGCTTCGGAAATAAATTATTGTATCTTATCTGAAAACTTCCAGAAACATACGAAATCCAATCAGATAGGCACTTACAGAAGCTCCTACAGGTTTACAGCCCTTTCGTGCACAAAGAACACTAATATGTGTTCTCCCAAATTAGCTAAAGTAATAAGACTGATTGCTAGAATCCCCCCAGAAAGGTGCAGTGGCAAAATGAGAGGACGCATTTTTTTTTTCACTAACTGCGTAATGCCAGGATAATTTTTTTTTTAAATGTACTTCAGTAAGATTACAATCTCTCAGCTTTAAAGACAGTTATTTAAAATCAAAATGACTAAGCAAACGTAATTTACTATAATTATCTATACGTATAAAAGGTAAAGCTGAAACTTCACACTTACCTTTGCATTTCTAATAGTATGGCATCAATATGACGGCTATTAGTGACGTGCATTTGTTTATCACCTTCCCATTATTTGAGGAGTTACTACACAGGTGGTTACATGCATCACGGCTTGTTCTATTGTTTCACCAAACGTGATTATAAAAAAATTGGCTTAGTTTTATAGAAGTTCTTTATTGTTCGGCTAAATAAGCAAGATTTTTTAGGGAGTTCCATTTTGTCAATCGCATTATGTAAAGTTAGCATAGAAATTCAGCGACAATTGACCAGTGTCTCATGCACTAACGGAAAGCAAAACTCCCGTCAAAATGCCACTGTTAAATATAGAGTAACTTTAATTGTAGCGAAGTGTAAATACCCAACGTAAAGAAAAAAATCAATAGGCTATACGGCAATTAAAATACTGCAACTGAATTACTAACCAAGAATGGAACTCATGAGCTTCGCAGCACTTATTCCCAATCATCCTTCTCATTGGCTAAGCTGGTTAAAGAAACACCAATGATTGGTCTTTCGAGTGCCATCGCGGTTCAGTATACACTAAAAGACGCCTGAGATTGTGCAGTCACTGACAACTGAAGAAACACAGGGCGTAGCGAGTTCCGAGCAGCTCCTTATCGCTCTTGAGCCAGTGAGACTGCTGCATCAGCTGATAAAAATTCCAAAAATGCAAATCACGAAGCATGAAGATAATAAGTCATGTCCTGCGCATCTTAAGGTATTATTGTCTGGGGTCGGTGAGTTTGTTTCCTCCCTGGGGATCGGTTCGTCGCTTCATCTCAGAAACAAACTCGTCCAGCATTTTCAAATGGGGCAGTGCTTGTGTGCAGTCACCCTGCCAAACTACGTTCCTATCGATGGCTGGAATGACATTCTTTAAAATAAAATGTCGACAATTTTTGCTCCACTGCCACTGTCTCTTTTGTTCAGAGTTGGTATTTGTCTCATCTGTAATGGCAAGAGGAAGCGAGAAAGATGTTTTCACAGGCAGTCTATGGTTCTATTAGTTCAGTTTATTACTTTTATTTATGAGGACTGCATAACTTGTTAGTCCTGCGATTAAAAGAATCAAACTGTTAGTGTACGCCAGTGAAATACACGCTAATTGTGTCTTCTCCTTCTCTTTCCAATTCAGTCTCAACTGGACTTCAAAAATTATTAAATAAAACAAACATAAGTACGAAAAACAATGACCCAAATAGGTTCCGGGGAGATTAGAATGCGTATGTAGTAGATTTTCTTTTTTTTTTTTTTTTTTTAGAGACTGAAACGTCATAGTGACTTTTGTAGTAATGGTCACCGTTGAGAGATTGATGGAGAAACTTGAAATAGAAATGCATTGCAAAGAAAAATTTTGAGATTCATGAGTATAAATACGCTACCAGACGGTGACGAGACTAAAACGCTTTTGTGTAATGTATATAGTTGAAATTAATACGATGTGAATGCTGTGAGAGAAGCATTCACAGCCATCGCGCGCCTGGCCGGCAGAACGTCGTATATACGCACTCTCTTTCGAACGGGCGCGTGACAACACTGGTCACCTCGTTAAACTTCGCACCTCCCATCTCCCGGCCCTGTTTCTATATTTCTTTGGTCTTCGCACTTCTTTCAAAGCCAGCCCGCTGACATTCGGACTGCCTCTCAAAGACTCTTCAGCGGTAAAACCTTCATCGTAAAAGTGTTCGATCCTGTTGCTGTAGTAAACCACGGCGCCATGAAAAATGCAGCTGATGACGAGCAGCAGGGCCGACACTCCATGTATCAGGTACCGGAGCTTTTTCAAATTGTAGACCCAGCAAGCACCGCGGTGACCGCAGTGGTCTTCCCACACGATGCAGCAGGCGTCGATGATGGCTCCGAATATAAGCGGGTAAGGAATGAAGGCTGAAACAAACAAAATACCCACAATGACAGTTGAGGCGCACGAGACTACGATCACTAAAACGAACTCTCTAACCTGTGCGTTTTTTCTTGTGTTAGACGAATGTCATTATCAAGGTTAAGTTGGGAGACGAATTTTTTAGAAGGTCTTGTTAGATTTGTTTTGTGTATTTATTTTATTTTTTCAGTACCCGCAGCGCGTTTCTGTATATAGCGAGGGGATAAACACACACAAAAAGAAAAAAAAATTAAATTAACAGGTAATCATCTTCAACAACATTTTAAAACCTCGCGAGATCAAAAATATTCTGACACATCTCGCGACGTTTAAAGCACGCTTCAGATTTCGCGTCACTCAACACAACGCATCACAGTTCGCGACATTGAATACAAATAAACGATACGAAACCTTATCCCTTTGACTACCCCAAAGTGTGCCGAACTTATACATAAAGAATATAATTATAGTGTACTGTGTTAACTTCTGCCTGGGATTTATCTTTTACGTAATCATATCAATAAAATGAATCTTCCATTTTTAAAACAGTACAAAAGCCATCGTTTGATATAACCGAGACAACAGCAGAACGTAATGTGTTCCACTGGCAGCATGTTTTTCTATAAAAGAAACTCTTAAAAGCCGCAGTCTTGCACCTATACTCACACATTTTATGAATAAGATCCACACGCGCAGATAGGTAATATTGGGGAAGGCTTCACGTGGGATGCCAGTCTGGGAGTGACATATACAGTAGAAACATTTTAAACGAAGCATTGCTTTGCAGCCCCCCCCCCCCCCCCCCCATTCCAGTGTATTCCATTTCAACATTTGTCTTGAGCGCATTGGGGGGGGGGGGGGGGGGAGGGTAGTTTTATACAGTGCAGGCATATTCTAATATAGGTATCACGCTTGTTTTATCTGATAGTTCCCGCGTAACCCGTGGAAAGTTTCGAGTATTTCGGCGCGAGGAACTCAAAAATTTTGAAGCTTTTGCGACGGTGTAATCTACACGCCGATGCCAGCTCAACGAGGATATGAGGTAAACACCTAAATACTTGAAATCTAAAACCGTTTTAGAGAGAAGCTCTTACACGCCCGTTTCCGTGTTTTGCGGTTTCGCCGTCGGCGCAACCGCGCTCAATTTAGCTTGACGTCATGTGACCTCAGCACCGATTCAATTCCCCGCTAAATTTAGCGGAGAAAATGATGTCACATGACTTGATGTCACGTCAGCGATGAACAAATTCCGTTTCTCCGCTAGATTTAGAGGAAAACTGAATTGATGGTGGAGGTCACGTGGCGTCAATTTTTCAGCTAAATTTAGCGGGGAAACTGTGGGAGGAGAGGAAGGTACGGAGGAGGAGGATGGTAAGAGGAAAAGGCGAAGAGGGGGAGAGAAGGTGTTAGAAGAAAGGAGGAGGAAAAGAGGAAATGCGGGGAGCAGGAGGATGAGAGGATGAAGGTAGGAGGAGGAGGAGGGGCATACCCTCTCCTCTTCCTCAAATGCTGTACTCCAATTTCGCGTTGCAGAAATTTGTAAACGTCTTTCATTTTTTTTAATCGAGTGTTGTTCATATCGTAACAAGAACTGGCGGTTGTTCGTTTTCTAGAAAAAGCCATGCACACGATTTCATCTAGGTTCAACTTCATCCGCCATTTTTCGCACCGTGTATTTATAGTATCTAGATCCCTTTAAATTATGAAATTGTCACTACCACATGTACTTCTCTATATAATATACAACCGTCTGCGAACATTCTCATGCATGAAGTGACATACTCATTAATATCACTTACATAAATTAAAAAATAGTAAAGGTCCTAAAACCGACCCTTGTGGGACTCCTGATGTTACTTGTGCAATTCTTGATTTACTTACATTTACTATTCAATGCTATAAAAAAAGAACTTGAAAATAAACACGTTTTCCCGCTTCGTCCTATTGCACATACGTATTTAACAGTAAATGTGCACTAACTGGCCCAATTTGCTACCAATTTTTCAATTGAAAGAACCTGCTTTTTAATGCATACGTTCAAATCTCATTAAAAAAAATCTTCTGAAAGGTTTAGGAAGACAGAACGAGGCTGAGCTTCTGTAGGAATAAAAATAAAACAGCGCAATGACACGGACAAGAACAAGAAGGTAGACGAACAAGGCTCTGACTTACAACTAAAGTTTATTCATGCTAACATTGAGTATAAATACTGTAACGTCATAACAAACAAACAAAGAGAAAATACATGACATGGACGCCACGTGCAAACTAGCCATCGTCATGTATTGTCTCTTTGTATGTTTGCAATGACGTTACAGTATTTATACCCGATGTTAGCACGAATAAACTTCAGTTGTAGGTGAACGCCTTGTTGGTCCACCTTCTTGTTCTTGTCCACGTCCTTGCGCTGTTTTAATTTTTAATCGTGAAATACCGACTAGCCCAAACTTCTACGTTAGTCAACTTCTATAGGAAGCTAGATTTGCACAACGAAAGACCTTAACCTCTTAACGAAACTTTTGCTTCCATACTAAGGCTCCCAAAATAATATGTTTTTTATGCTTCCTATCAAATTTTATTTCATTCCTGTTTTGCTTAAAAGTCTGATTGCACCCTATTATAGGGGAGGGGGCTTATGTTGTAGAGGACCTTCGTATCATGCGTGGAAATTTTTGACGATCTACATTTCCTGTTGAAGTAATTAAATCACACGTAATAATTTGACTATACTGAGACCTACAAATTGTTTTCGGAATAAGAGGTTATGCTCTGGTAACGCAGACTGGGGGGACAATACCAAAATAAAAAATAGTTTTTTTACATTATGCATGAAATACCGATGGTTGGTAACCATAGAATCACTTAGATTTGTTGGAGAGTTTCAATGTAAACAAAGAAGTAAGGGACTCACCGAAGATGTTCATGATGAAAGACGTGATGGTGAGAGCAATAGTCTTGTCCTGTGGCTCGATGGCTCTGAGATTGGAGCAAGGCCAGATTATTAATTAGTACATCAATCATCAATATATGAGGCGGAGTGACTCTGAGCTCGCTAGTTTTGTATGTGCGCAGATACATTTAACATTTGACTAATACAAAGACTTACCCGGACGTGTCCTCACTAGTTTCTTGGTATAAACTATAAAGCATGCCATTTTGATGTAGGCTTTTGTTTTAGAGTTATCACTATAGATCTAATGTTCTTGGAATGCACTTCCAGAAGGGCAAGAAAATACATTACAGGAGCGGCCATGTCATGATACAGGCTGTAAAAGGTCCCGGTGGCTGTTTGTAGATACGCAGGTTGGCGTCTCTGTCGATGCAGTGACCCAACCGGTGGCTTCCAGACTTTCCGTCAACCGGCCGACTGCACTTTTAGCTACAATCGAACAAGCGTCGTTCACACTCACGTCTGTTGCTCTGACACCGCCAGGATCGCAGTGATCCACCGTTACGGCGTCCCCAATCGAAATTCAAAGGCGCAATGTGAAGGCATGACAAGCGCACCATTCGGAAGCAAGTTCCAGGCGCCGTGCTCGTCGTAGATAGAGCCACTAAACATGTCATGCTTCAGATTTCAAAGTTACGCCAGTAAAGCAATTCGGTCGTATTGTTCGTATACATGCCTGAGGAGGAGGAGGGTCGATCCTACGTGCGACGTCGACAGGACAACTTGGATGAAGAATACCACTCCGGAGAAGGTCATCATGGTTCCCAAGCAGTCCTGTTCACACTTTCCGTTTTTAACATCTCCGTGGGAAAACTTGGGCCTCCCAGGTTCGGACTGTAAGCACTGGCAATCGAGGAGGTCCTGCGGGACACCGGAGGCGTCTCGGTTTATTGAGGCTCGGTGCGTCTTAAGATTTGTAGGCATGTAAAAGCATTTCCGGTAATGTTGTCAGATGCCTAGGTTGATATAGTGCATATACGTTGTCGCACCTAAATTTTCTGAACAAAACACGAACGTTGCACTTCCCACAAGATAGAGGCATTATTTGCGGCACCAAAAGGCGTAGTTGTGTGTGTTCATGAAACACAAAACGTTATTCTCTGAAAATGCGCGTCGTCATGTGTGTGTGTTGTTGCTCATGTAAAAGACGTTGCGCATCATCAGAGGTCCTTGTTACACGGCTTTCTGCTCGTACTGCTCATGCTGACCTGAATGCAGGGCTGATGAAATAGCTCCGTTGGAATGAGTACTGTATTTTTTCGTCTAGTTATTTATTTAATTAAAACCTTGCATTATGTCAATTTGTCGTTAACGCTACAGCCACTCGTGATCATTTACAAACAGATATGAGTTTTTTTTTTCTTTTACTGACAGCCCTACAGAAAGCGGGGCATGAAGCATAGGTCATTCACAAAAAAAATTAGAGCATAGGCGAGCGACAATAAAAAGTGGTAAAAACAAAATATTTGAACGCTCACGCCTGCTTCGATAATTAAAAAACGTAGGCACTTTTAAAAATAACGTTTGCAGTTGCCGGGTACGAAACAGGCACGAAACTTGTTTGAGGTGTTTGCACCGGCACGAAATAAACACTCCATTCTTAATTTTGGGAGGAAAAATATAACCACTAACCGTTTGATTCAGGGACTGTGACCCACAGCCCGCGAAACAGGCCGAGAAGTACTGGGTACCCGTGCTTAGGTCACACACAGGCTGGCGAACACTCGTGGAACAAATGCATTCTGCGTTGCACTGGTTCTGTATTGTGAGCCTGAAAACAAACACGCCCGCATCTTTTTTTGGAGCGTGAGCTACACTGGCCGAAGTTGAGCCGTTTCGCGTGGCTCCTGGAGAGCCGTGCTGCGCATGCGCGGGGAGCAGTGATGTAACACGGCGCACAGCTGGCGCGCCGGAGCCGCCGCCGCCGCCGCGCTCCGCCGCCGCCGCGCGCGCCTTGCCGTTCTGCGCATGAACTGTGTGTGGTGGCTGGTAACTTCAATCGCGCTCCAGACTCTCTTCGTGTTCCTTTGAAGGACACGTTTAACCTGGACTCAGCCGGTGTTCCAACTGTACAGACAACCCAATGGGGAACCACCATTGATCTTGTGTATCAGAGACAGACAATCGATTCCAAATACTACGTTAATTGGGGCCATAGAGACGGCAGCGTGTTACTACACTGACCACCGAGCCGTATTTGTGGCAATAGAGAAGCGACCAGACGTTGAACAAAAACAAATTAATAAATATACATGTGTCACATAATGCGTATACCGTGTGTGTGTGTCATTGAAGCAACAGTAAGCATGATAATCAAGCTAATCCTAGACAACCAGGAAAGCTAAGAATAACCAGCTGAACCTAAGCTCACGCTAGTTATATCCTGGCATAACCAAGCTAAGCCACTGCAATTTTTTTTTAACTGTAGAAGTGCGACGGTTTAGTGACGCTGTATGAAATATGTTCGCCAAAGCGTCGACCTGTTTGTTAGCCCTTTTTGGATGGGGTGCTATCGCTGAATCAAATCACTCTTCCTCAACCATCTTAATAAGCAAAAAAAAAAAAAAAATACAGGCGATAAATTTCAGATTACAGCTGTTCTGAGCGGTTTATTGTTTTCAGAAAATACAGGTCATGACAGGCACGTAGCCAGGGGGGGGGGGGGGGGGGGTGCCATAGGGTCCGGCCCCCCCCCCCCGAAATCTTCTACTTTGCTGGGGCCTCCTCTCCCCCCTCCCCCTCACACAGCATTTCGTCATGCCTCCCCCCCCCACCCCCAAAGAAAAAAAAAAAACCCTGGCTACGTGCCTGGGTCATGATACTGGTCATACTAATGTCGCTTTAGAACGAAAAGGAACGAAAGCCTTTTGATCGAAGCTGGAGCGGATTTTCCTGTAGGCCAAACAGTTTGCTGAAAGTAGGAACGCCACGCTCTTTGCTTCGCGTAACACTTTGATTTTAGGAAAGGGCAGAAGCTCCTCAGCGAGGTCTCGGTGCGATCATCCAGACACCCAATGTCTATGAGGACTTGCGTATTTTTTGGCGTAGTCAAGATAATCCCGCAATAGCAAACTTGCAGTGTTTAGGAATAAAAAAAAAAGGAGAGCACAGGCGTCCGTTGCGTTGCCTGGAATGACTTCACTCGAAATCTGCAAGGTGGCAACTACGTCACTGGGAAGTCGAATGGGTACGTGTGAATGAACATTCACTGGAACAAAGTACTCATTTAAAATCAGGCCAGGTGCCCCCCCCCCCCCCCCCCCCAATAAAGAAAAACAAGTTGCGTGGGAGTTTGCACGTAATAATACGACTCCTAAGCTTCGACCTGAATTAGAGACGATGCAACAATGCCCATATTTTCGTCAGAGTTCTACCCTTGATGAGTGTGAGCACGTGCGAAACAATGAACAAAGCGAGAGATTGTTAGTAGCAGCAAGCAGTGATCGCCGGTGTTTTACATTTTGGTGATACCAGGTTTTACAAGCTACAAGTATATTATAGCATGCAATAGTTGGTGTCCCGCCAAAAATAATCCCTGGAGAAGTGGAACAAGAGGGACAAAGGACAAACGCAAATCTACAAACACAGATAGCTTGTGCGTGATCGAAAAAATCCGCCTGATCCTGGCACCGAACCAGGGACCTCTCCATTTCCAGAGGAGCGCTCTACCAGCTGTGTTTGGAGATTTGTGTTTGTCCTTTATCCACTGTTTTTACACATGTACGCGTAGTCTGTCTTAATGACAGACTACGCGAACATGATTATTCTCTGAGAGCCACAGTAGGAGGACATCTCGCAACACATTGTAAAGAGTGCAATTGCAATCCGCTATTCGGGGAAACAAGAATCCTAGAGAGGCACAAAGATAAACTGACCCGCGAAGTTGTGGAAGCCTACCACGTCATATCCGCCGCTAATAAATGCATAAGTGTTGAATCGGTAGCCTTAACAAGCAAGGAAATAGACTTTTTAACACGGACAATGAAGAACCTGCACGAGTCACGGTTGTCGCGAGACATCAGACACGATGACAAAGCGACATCCGACCACGGATGAGGTGTTCGTCTTCCTCTCTGACTATGGTGACCCCGCACAAGCCAAGACTGATGCAAATACACCCTGCACCACGGCAACGTAAAGGCCAACAATGGATTTGGTGTTTAGACAAAGAACTAGTGTCTCAAGCATGTGCCCGCGAGGGAACACCCTACTATGTGTTTTATATTTCTGTTTGTTTTCCTTCTTTTGTCATCTTTATGGGGATCTTGACGATGTTCCTTCTCTTCATTTTTGTAAATATAGCTGTAAGTAGCGCTCTTTCCTGTCTCTTCTCTCTTCTCCATACGTGTCCGCTAATACCGTTCAAATGTCTAATCACCAACTAGCCCAGTTATGAACCCTTTTACAGTGCTAAACGTCCTTTTTTTTTTTCTCTTGAGGTAAACAACGAGTATAGAGCCGCTAACTACGCTACGCTTTGACTGTCGGTACTCCATCCCCTGATTTGCTTATGGGCGCCGCCATTTTGGTACTTAGTGCAGAGCGAGCGCCATTGGCGACTGTTACGCTTTGAAAATGCAGCTACCTGAAGCTTAGATACGTGGTCAGAAGAAAACTCAGGTGGCGATATTTTGCTTTGTCGTTTCAACATTTATGAAGGACACAAAAAAAAATAATAAAAACCGATTCCTGCAATTTCAGATCCGGTTTAAGAGAACTGGTGACAATGTTTTAATGCACCCATATGCCTGAAGTGGCGATACTCTGAAGCCTCGCTTATGTAGCGACTCGACATAAGACAAAGAACGAAACACTTTTCAGCAATGAGAGTTGTACGGCATACCGTTCTTCACTGTCGTGAGTCAGCGGGTACTGCACGGAGCCACAACGAATGGACATGAGGCCCAGGATTCCCGCGACGGCCACGACAATCACCAGGACCTGGTGTGAGGCTATTATCCGGGGTCTGGGCCTCACCTTGTGCACAAAAAAGGATCCCAGGATTGCGCCAATTACGTTGGACAGGATGTAAGTTGGGCCTGATAGGAACAGTCAACATGTATCCATTTAAATCTCCGGTATTTAGATGGAAAAAAAAAACAAGAAAAAAAAAAACAGCCGTGTTTACTTATTTATACGTTCTCAGGCGAGAAAAACGAGCAATGTCTTTAGCGCAGCAAAAATAAATTATACGCGTTGTCCAAATCTCAGACTCTATCAAGGCCCGTTCACACACTTGCAACCGAGTACGACCGAGAGAGGTGAGACCTGTTGAAACCTCTTGAAATTTCTTTGGACGAGAGAACACACTGGCACGCTGGCGCCATCTATGCGGTGATCCTGGAACTGCATTTCACAAGAGCGAAGGTTTTGCGGAATTTCTGAGGTCAATTGTGCGTAATACCTACAAGAAAGGCTCGTTTATAACGTTGACAAAAGTTTTTCGAGCCAAGAAAGGATAATGCGCGAGAGAAATAGAATATATGCCGGGCCGCCAAGTTTACACTACAGTAAAACCTCGTTATAACAAAATGGGATATAACAAACTAATGGATATAACAAAATAATAATAATTCCCCTTGCTTGCTAATAGTGGGAAGAAATGGACAGTGGCTGTGACAAACTAATGGTTATAATGAAATAACTACAACCGCTCCTTCAACTTTTTTACAACGAGGTTTTACTGTACTACCCAATAGATGGCGCCAGTGTGTCCTCTCGTCATAAGAGATATTGAGAGGTTCCAAGGCGCTCTGCTCTAAGAGGTCGCAAGTGTGGAAACGGGCTTTCAGAATGTGGTGCTAGCAGTTGGAATAAGATTCCACACTTTAAAGACTCGGAAGTATTGGGTGAACAGCTAATGCTAAAATTAAAAACAATTGTGAGGTGTGCTTATTTCGACAGCTGGAAGTTAGCCAGCCCCAATGGGCCTGTGGTGTCTCCGTTGTAGATGAGAAAGTTAGCCAGTTCAATATCACTGGTAACCTAGAGTCTTCAACGTGCATCACGAACGCACTAGCGATATATGAACTCATGCAGGTACGATGCTCATCCGTTCTGGCTGGCAGCAAAAATGGGTATTTTCCCTACAGGCTACCACGCCGTCCGGCAGCAGGAGTAGATAGAGTGCGTGTGTTCTCTACTGCATCCCGTTAGATGGCGCAGCTCTCGCTGATAGACAGACAAGCAGCAACAAATAGCGCTTCTATTTGTTTGTTGACGTCTGCGTGTATTACTTTTGATCGACAATGGCGTCATGTAAACAAACAAAAAAAACAGCTTTTCCATCTCTCAGATGCATTGCGTCTACTTTTGCAGCCTGACAGTGTCCTCCTATAGCCAAACATCTTTCTTTTCTCCTTTGTTTTTCATTCTGGTGTTTAACTCCGGTAGTCGCAGCTCTTTAATCTTTGACATCCGATCCTAACAGCTAGCGCTACCTCATGAGAGAGTCTCAACTTTCGACAAATGTGTAGCACATATCTGAGCTACGGCAAACCTGGCTCGCCTTAGGCGATACCATGTAGCATCAAGGGCCCGGTGTTTTCTTACCTCCAAACAAACTGGCCCGGGAGGCGGACAGGGAAAACTGGTGCTCAGTGTACTTGGGAAAAGAAAAGGAGTAGCCTGCGAGGGCTATAAAGGCAGTGACGTTCCCCAGGGTCTTGAAGACGCAGATGGGATTTCTAGAAAGTCTGTGAAGAGCACACATCGCTCCTAGAAAGCAAAGCAGAAAGAAAGCGACGTTTGGAAGTCCGCCCCACCGCTGAGTTTCAGCCTAGATATTTGCGGCAGAAACCGAGAAATATCCAAGAGGGGAAGAAGTGAACATTAGAAATGCCAAAAAGGTTAAACGATAAACTTGAAGAACGTCACATTTCCCTAGACGCGCTCGGGGGCATCAATAATTGTTGTTTCCTTAGTCAGCATAGACAATTAAAGAGACGATCGGTAGCATACTCTAAGAGGCAAGAAGCCTCAATGATAAAAAGGCGTCCACCCTCCTTGCTAGTGAAACCGCTTGACCAGTAGATCATGATAACGACCATCATTCTTAGGGTCTCTAGTAAAACCCATTAAAGCAAAATCAATAATAATCTTCCGAGTACACTGAGCTGCAATATACGCTAGAGGTCGTCCGGGAATAAAGGACTCTGTTTCCTCATCGAGAAATTTACAAAACTTGATTTAAAGTTTGTAGCTGAATAAAGTTGGTTACTAAACACGGAGAGGTACCTCCTGGAAGCCTCAGAGTGGCAGCTGATGGTTCTTTAACACACTTAGTTTTCTCAACATTTTATCGAAGTGTCCGATAAGGTTACAAAGTTATCTTTAAATGATAGAAGCAAGTCTTTATTTATAAAGATTAAACTGTTTTCTCCTTCCTGGGCATTAGCAGGGACTCAACTTAAAGAACCCCTAAAAAGAAAAAGAAAACAGTTTTTTTTTTTTTTAGCAGTTCGGTTGAGACACGCGTGTCAAAAAATAAATCTAACGCCAATAAACTTTTTAGAGCAATATTGATAGCGAGAGATTTATTTGAAAATTTGCGCGCAAAGTCCATAACGTTACGGAATAAATTCATTCGGTCTTTCCTCCTCAACGTGAAGGCCAAGCCGATCCACCTCTCCTCCACACGCCCGAAATGCCGAGAGAGAAAACAAGTGGAAAGGAGGTGACTACCGACTAAACCGCATCTTGCGCCGTCAATTTTGCTCTAAAAATATATATATATTTTTTTTTTGCGCGTAAAATTAATTTTTTGTTACACATGTCCAAACCAGACTGTTTAAAAAACATTTTCTTTTCTTTTCAGGGGCCCTTTAGGGGCTATGTTGAAAAAGAACGACGAAAAAAAGGGCGAACGTCTGTGCGTACTGCCATATTCTCTTTTAATGTATTCATTAATCACCTTCGAATACCTTATTGTGTTGTTTGCTAGTTCTTCAAACTTGGGTGCCTCACTCAAATTCCAACCACCAGCGTTTCACTCGGGCGGAACCTAAGCTTTTTGGTTCATTCCCATGGTACGAAAGGCAAGGTTCGTTATTTTCTCAAGAAATGGCTACCAATTTTTGTGTTGTAAACATTGAAGTGTTCCCACCCTTGACTTCGGCCTTGAAACTGGTATCTTCTCTTTCTGTAGAACCAGTCTTGTTGGCTTCCGCATTTGGTCGTATCTTCTTGGGGAAGAAGAACATAGGCAGAACGCACACGAAGATGCCCATTGCTATGACCAGGTAGCCGACCCACCAGGCTCCAATCCATCGAGGATCTCTGATGTCCAATCCTGGCTCATCTGCGTTACGATATGTTTTTCACAAACAATATTTCAGCGACAGGTTAAGGCGTTTTAAAGCGATAGCTTTACGGGCAACACTTCGAAAATATATCGACCTCGTGGACTTTCGCCGCCGCGCGCACGAAGAAGGGGAAAAAACTTTTCTTCTCTCCCCTTTTGGCGCTACGAGGAGGAAGTCGGGACTTCCCGTCGGCCGTGCGGCGCAAAGAGAGTGAACAGGGTAGCTCTGGCGTCCTGCCAAGAATGGCGCAAAGAAGGGAAAATCTTCGTGTCGTCTGCTTAAACAGTTGTTTCCAAACATTTATCGCGCTATGCGAAATCCCACTTTGGCAGTATCCAGTTGTTACACGCTATGTTGGGTGGTTTTAAAAACTCCAATCGCGCTTAACCTCTTCACGAATCGCCGAGCAATGGTGGCGGCATCCATGACGCCAACCAGGACGGCTATAAGAATTAACCACGTCGCACCTCCATCCTCAGGAACGTGACGACACCATTCCACCCGCATTGCGCGACCGTGCTAGAGCTACCGCTTTCGTTAATTCGAACACTGTTGATAAAAATACGACTTTTTTTTTCCATAGATGTCACATATAGTAGGACAAACCACCAAGGAGCTTTTGCACGTACACATGCATGCGGTGAACTCCGAACATCAATCATTGTTCTTTTTTTATTCAATCAATCAATGAGCATGCAGTCGCAGCAGCAGGAAAAGGTAACTGCCAGGTTTGAAACTCATACTGTATCATTGGAGCATTATACGATCGCCCTTCCCATTCGTAAAATGAATTGAGGGTCGATATAGTTAGTGGTCCGGGTGCTCACGTGCAGTATATTGTCAGGGAGCTCTGAGAAGTCAGCAAGACAGTACATACTATCGACCTCGCATATAAATGCACAAAATGAAGATATCTTCATGTTTATCCGCTCTATCTTTTAAACATACAAAATCATGTCAGTAAAAAAAATAAATAAAAAGTGTCAGAAAAACAACGATGTCTTTGAGCAAATGACGTGCCAGAAAGGTTTGTATGCGGTCTGATTCCAAGGGAACAGACATAGCGAATGATGTTGTGGCAATTTTAATGAAGACTGTACAAAGCTCCGGCTGAATTTGAGAGGCACAAAGGCACATGACATCTTAAAAATAAAATATCACCTAAAATATCAACAGTTCAGGATATGATAATACCCAGCCTAGGAACAGAAGTCCGTCTAACCCTATAGTAGGGCAGCGGGGTCGGCGTACAACACGGGGAAAAAAACATGTTCCTAGACAGTACGATTTAAGAGTCAGACTTGTCAGTCAATAATAAATCATCAGGCTTCAATAACAATGCGGTCACCATGATAAAATGGGTAGACGCCTTTTTGTCGTTGAGATGCATGACCATTGTGCGGCGTACACTAAAGAACTTCTGAAAACTCAAAAGTCTGCTCACCCAAAGGGTCTTCGGGGAAACTGAGGCAGAGAGAGGCAATGAAGAATCCAAAAAGCGGACCCATGAGCCGGAATGCGTACGCAAATCCTGCATAACGAAAGAAGTCGCAGTCCATTTCAAGCTAGCTCCATTACAAGGTGCTTTTTTTGTTTTTTCTGTGGTAAAGATTTATACATGGCTTCATATCTACCATGATTTATACCAGAGGCAGAATGATCCGCGTGTGCGGATCATTAAAACCCAAAGACCTTGCTGCGGCTGTCTTAGCTGCAGGACGATAATATTGCTATGCCTGGTTCCTCTGGGCGCACCTGGTTCAGCATGTCAAAAACGTACTGGGCAGGGCGGGTGAGATATAAAGACCCAGGAGATATTTCGGCTGCATAGAAATCGTTTAGACTCTCTCTTTCTTTCTATTTGTTTAATTCTACTAGCTCTCTCTAACTTATTCATTCGCTTGAAGTGGTAACCGTCTGGAACTAGAAATACAATAAGAAGTCAGCTATGCCTGGTCGAAATTATTATGTAATATGAAGAACTAGCTACGTATACGTGTTAAGTGGCAATATTAGGCGCTTGGCTTGGTATACGTTTAAATTGGAAGTCTTTATACTTGTCATAGAAAGTTTGGTCTGAATATGAAAGCTTCAACCGCAATAATTTTCAGCGCAGTCCTCTGAAAAGTTGTTTATAGATACAAACAGTTTTATTTTACCGTCCTTTCTAATGTACTTTGTTCTAATGTTCTACAAAAAAAAAGTATTTTCTAGTAAATGCTTCGCTTTACGTTGTATATATTCTTCATAAAAAAAAGTAATCTTGAACATTCAGTCACAACTTACGTCTCGCTGAAACTTAATTTCTGTGGGCCTCGAAGAAGTAATGTTTTTTTATCGAAACGCGCCGGCTGCCTCTCTGACGCTTCCAAACGTTCCTTTTGTGGGTATTCCTTTGGTCACTTTTCACCGATGGTCGTCATAATGGTCACGGGTCGGAACGATCGGACTCTTCGCTGTGAGCTCCGAAGTGTTCGTGAAGCGTTGGAGGGCCGCCTGCCTTGGGGGCCTTCCTCTTCAAGTTCTTCCTCGAGGATCTTTCTCTGTTCACCCGCTCGAACCCTCGGACGTGGTAACAACCGGCAGGTGAGAAGGTTTCGCCTTTTTTTTTTTTTTTTTTCGCCTTGGGAAAAGGGATTTGCACAGTGGCTATGATAGAGTTTGGATCCGGTGTCGGTGTTGTAACCAACGGTTTTCCATTTCGGCTCTCGGGACCCGTGTCTGGCAGGTAAATGCTTTCTCTTATCTTGCCGGCGCGGCAGGGGGGTTGAGGGAGAATTTGGATGGAGACAGTGCAGCTATTTTAAGAGTGTCAAATAAAATCTCTTGTACACTGTCCTTAGTCATGTACCTGTGTCTTCTCTGCAGTATGCAGAGAGAGAGAGAGATAGTGTAGCGGTCGTTGACACGAAGGTAGGTTTTATCGAACCGACCCGCGGTATTATAGCCTATACAAGGCTTGACGGCTTCTGACTTCAGATCGCTGAAGCTGTTGAAATAATCCTTTGATTACTCTATCAGTACTTCTGTTCGTAGCAAAACCCCACACTTTTCAACGTCTTTCTACCAACTTCTCCCATAACCAGGAAGCATCTAAGCGCAAAAAGGACCGACACAAAGAAGGGGACACGGACAAGCGCTTCTCCGTGTGTCCTTCTGTGTGTGCGTCTCTGTTTGCGCTAACAAGTTTCTTCGGCATCATGCACCAACTAGCCCAACAACAAGCCTTGTTAAACTACGTTTCGATTATATCCTCGCCACTCGTTCCTATATATTGTATCGCACTTACCAAAGTAGAGAGCCGAGTACGTCTTCTTCACGTTGTCGTCCATGTAGGTTGTGCCGATCACATAATAGGCCGTGCCTCCGAGCCCGTTCAGGAAGTTACCCGCGAACAAGAAAGCAAAGGGGAGCATGGCCCCATGAAACTCCCTCCTGCCGCTGCATTGCGCGGCATCGATATTCGAACCACCGCAAAACTGAATCTGCAGTCCGGTTCCAGAAGATCCGGTCGTCCCCATCAGGTGTGTACCTTTCCCGTAGACGCTGTAAGGCAGAGCACTTGCCAGAGCTCCCAAAAAGGACAGTAGCATTCCGACGGCGACCACGTTGGGTTTACTGGCTCTGCGGACGCACAGGATGAGCACAAAGGTGGCGAGGATGGGCCCGATGTCGTCCGCGATGGTGATGATGCTCGATCTGCGACTGGACATCGAAAATCGCTTCTCGAACGTGGACAGGGTCGCCACCAGGTACGTGCGGTACGCTCCCTGGAAGACACCAAGGGCACCAAAGGCGACCGCATAGTATCTCGACGTGGCGAATCTCTGCATCCAACCTGGTCTGTAGTTCCCAACGCCGCAGAGGTACTCCTTGCCATTGCAGAGGTCTTGCCGTGGTTGCTTTGCTGGTACACTCTCAGAATCAGAGTCCTCCTCCATTACCTGTTAAAGATTCTTCGCAGGGGTGTTGCAGCCGTTCTTCCGAATGGCAGCCGATGTCAACGCAGATAAAAGTTGTTTCGCGAGCGTGGGGTAAGAGACACCGAGCGGAAGCGAGACCGAGTGAAAGATGAGCGTGGGGGTAAGAGATACCGCGCGGAAGCGAGACCGTGTGAAAGATGAGCGAGCGAATTTTAGATTGACGAATCCCAGTATTCCCGGTGTAGAAGGAAACCAGGGAAGAGGAGGGAGAGAGATATGCGGCGAGATATTTGAGAGATGCTGGTGGGGGGGAGTCCCAGGCTCTAGTGAAACTGGTGCCGGTCAGATTTTAGGCACGCTACCCTGACAAAAAGGTGTGTTTCAAGACCTTGATATTTTTATCGTACGTAACCTATCAGGAGTAGACCAAGTGCTTTTCAAAACCGTAAGCCGACCGTGCGAACGTCAGCTAAGCTTCAGGTAAGCGCAATTGGCATCCGGTTGCATATCACCGGAAACTAAGCGCTGCTCCATGCGCTTCAATGGCTGCTTCGTGGTGTCAAATGCGTCCCGTGATGCAGGCGAGGTCGAAGGGCGTGTAGCCTGAAACAAACAGAAAAAAAGAAAAAAAGGTCTTTAAATAACAGATTTCTTCTTTTTTTTTTTTCAGCGCTCTATAACCTCTGTTCTCGACAGATGACGCCACCGACAACACCGACCTAAAGTCCCTAGATAAGAGCTTCCTACAAGTAGCGACATTAGAGAGTTTTAGTAATACGTATAGGAGCAAACGCAGACCCCATACGTTAGCGTTAACGTTGTGTCGTTCACACTGCGCATGCGCCATACGTACGTACTGCGGCGAGCCTTACGTACGTACGCTCGCTATCGATTTTTGCGAACGTACGTCTCGTTGCTCTCGTCGCGCACGGGAAAGCGCGAGACTAGCCCAGTTTGAAATATGGCGGCGGTGAGGCAAACCAGCGGAAGTCCTACGCGCATTGTACGGGTTCGCTTTACCATTGAAGATGGCATCAACCTCTTCAAAGAAGTCAACGCGACGAACCCTTTCGAGCACCCACAAAGATGGGTGTCGATAGCCAAGAACGTTGGCCACGCCGTCGAACCCAAAAAGATTGTTTAACGTGCGGTCGGTAAAAAAAAAAAAAAAAAAAAAGAAACACGTACACAACAGGCACACAGAAACACGCCCTTCCGTAACAAAGCGAGGAGAATCGGGGCTTTGGATTGGCTTGACCGAATACCCGCCTTGGATTGTTTGAAGCAGTTTACAGGAGCACATCTAGATGGCGCTACAAGTCTTTACGTATGCGTTCTTCTTCCGCTGTACTAAAAGTGCGTATTCGACGCTCTCCGTAACGTTCCGTCGACGCAACGTTAACGCTAACGTAGGGGGCTTGCGTTTGCCCCTATACGTATTACTAAAACTCTATTCTTTGAAGCGCCGACTGCGTGACGGTGCAGGTTTTAGGAAGCGAATGGCGGCGCACAGCAGAGGTTTGAACTGAGTGTCGCCACCTTGTTCCAGCGGAATATGCTTCGTCATTTGTATTGGTTGTCGTTACTTGTAAAGGAAGTATCAAGGGACTTTACACCGACCCCTGCGCGAAAGAAGGGGATCGAGAGGAGGACGGACGGATATCGGACACCGGAAAATTTCCTTGACGGCCGAACGGCGGAGAGACACTTGGCCGGTGGTTTCGTTTAACGGACTATGATACGCTACCTGTGTATGTGTGTTTATTTGTGAGAACAATAAACTTAAATTAACGTTAAAAGCTATAGTTCGTTGCAACTCAAGAAGGTAGGAAGAGGGAAAGCAATGCCGTGGAGGTGGAAGCAGTCGGAACGCTGGAGAGGAGAGGAGGAAACTTCCTCCTTTCTTCAGCGTTCCGCCTGCTTCCTCCTCCCCCACCTTCCTTTCCCTCGCCCTACATTCTTGAGTTGCAACGGACTATAGGCCTCTTTCCCAAGGGCGCCGTTATCTTGAAATATCGTCACTTCCAGTATGGGCGAAAACATTGTTTTGCCGTCGCCACGCCAATAGAATGCATTTAGGATATAAGCGTAACCGTCACTCATTCTCGTTTTGTGTCCCCTATATTTTTTTTTACTATTTGCAGGTTCAAATGTGTAATTATTTTTTCGTCGCCCATACCGGATATGCCTGCTTGGAGGCTGGGGACAAGAGTAAGCGAAGAAGGTCTATAGTCAACTACATAGATAACTCAAATTCGCATTTATAGGTTTCTGAACCCAGTTCAAAGGACACAAAAGCGAGAAAACAACAAGAACACAATATAAGAACTTAATAGACAGCGCTGTTCAGCAAGCACAAAACGCGACGACGTTAACACACACAAAAAAATATAGGTTTTTATATATATTTTTTTTTAAATCTTATAAAAAAAGAGGAGAAATATTGACTATCTTGGGCACCAACACAGGAAAAAAACTTTGTATTCGTCCACACCCACTCTGAGCAAAACTCGAAAAATAGTCGATGTCGTGCTCGCGCTGTGTCTCGCCGTATACCAATTCTAGCCCAACTCCACACATTGCCACTGTTTGAAGGGTTAAGTTATAGCGTGCGCGTTATCGTAGATTGTAGTGCACTAAAATAGGGAAGCCTACGAACGTCGCTTGTCCGCTTCCGGGATTCGTTTGGGCGCGCGCAATACAACACGGCGGCCTGTCGCCAACTTCCCTGTTCCCACCACCAGCGGGCGCAATGAATTGCAAAAACAAAAAAAAAAAAAAAAATTAACCTAGAGTGGTGCATAACAATTCCAGTTTTTATACTTTCTTACGATTAGCGAGAATGTGCCCTACAGGTTAAATCGTGCATAAGCGTGTTTTATGTCTGCATGCCAGGACGTTTCACACGCAAAAATTTCGCCGGCACCATAACAACCAACCGGAATTCACATAGCAATTCACATTCACGGCAACGAGACGCCTTTTTTTTTTTTTTTTTTTCTTTACGGGCGACATCGGAACTGCTTATACGAATCGCCGCCCAGTCATAACACTGCCCCGTTCCAACGCACCCCCAGACATAGCTCATATCACCTGCAATGAATATACGATTTCGTTCTCGAAACTAAACTGCCATATGTTCCTTGTGTCAACAGGCATACCTTGTGTTACTGACCGTGAAAGATCGACTTTGTGCCAATGACCGTCGTTTTATTTTTTTATTTTTTTTTGCGCGTTGAGGGTGTTTCGAAATTTTTTTTTGTGCTTTAACTAATCATCGATTATAATAAATAATTTAATTTAATAAAGCATCCAAAAGGGACTGCACTTTACCCCCCAAGTTGGCTTCGGTGCTATCGACCGAGTGGCTTTTGGAAGTGCCTTTTGTGAGAGAGTGTTCCTGCGCAAACAACGCGTTCTGCGGAGCCACGCTCTAGCGCATCGGCCTTTGCTAGCACGGAAAAGGACTTAAAGGGAAACTCCACTCAATTTTGAAAATTTTGAGTTAGTGGATGATGTTACCTTGCAAAGCACTCATAAACGACTCTGCATACTCTTTTCCCCGAAAGGTAAATTAATTTCCGAGTAATCTTGAAAGAAGCAAAATCGCAAAACGAAACCGAAACTTCGGCAAGGATGGGCAACACTATCGTCAGCGTCTACGGTCGACGTCGAGAGCATGCACACACCACGTGGGATAGAAAGGGTCACGTGGCCTTCCGCACGGACAGGCGCTGCACACGCGTCGTCTGCATCGCATCGGCTGCACAGGACGGCTCCCGCTTCATTTCCGTTGTGAACCGTAACACACAACGAGGTAAGTTCTTGCCAAGGTATATTTTGTACGCAATTGTAGTAGATGCAAGCTGGGCCTGTAGCCGCCGTCATATCTTATTTTATGCGGGGAAGCCAATGCAATCACAAGCTTGTCAACGCTACGTTCTCGTGCACGCTGCACGCGCTTGCACGCTGGGAGAGCTGTATTTCTAACCTGAACGGGCCTGAGTAAGGACTGTTGCAACGAAGTCAGCATGTGTGGCTTTTGTTCGTTGTTCTAATAACTTGTGTGGTGCGACCGTTCGTTGTTCTAAATTCCGATTACGTAGTTCCAATAGCCCCCGTGTATATGAACCCATGCAACTCTCCGATAGAAACGACTGAGTTGTTGCGTATGAGCGACTGCCAGTCTGTCAGGAGACAGTGAACGTACGCACCGTGCATCGTGTTAACATTGCCCCGCGAGAAAGATACATCTCGAAAGCCCGCGATCGCGTAGTGAAAACGTGTTTTGGTTGCATGAGCAATCGCTCAACACTTGTCTATGCCAAAGCGATGTGCTGGAGTAATATTTGATTGCATATGTTGCCGACGTAAAATCGCGTTAGCCACTCAATTTCCTGGCTGTCGAGATCTGAACATGATGGAGCCACCGCTGAGCAGTCTGCTGTCGGGGAAGCTGTGCCGCGTGCGAAGATCGACGGCACGGCGTCCGGCTTCAGCTTCGCGTACTTCGTCGAGAAGCCACAGTCAGCTAACACGCGCATATTTCGCTCGTAACATTCGGGCAAGAAGTGATCGGAACAGATCAATATCCTGGCAGTTGGCGACAAGGACTTCTCGGGGTCCCATAGGTACAGGGCGTCCGTCCAAAGTTTCCGCCGTTCAATGTCGCCAGGAAACCTGTGGAAGAGAGGACTCCTGGGCTGTTTAGCTGGTAGTTCGGGCAGCCAGCGACACAACAACGTGAGTCTCTGCCTTTGCGCTTTCTGCCAGCCATTGCAAAGGCACACCAGCAACAAATCTACGCGCCTCTTGCCTAAATAAAACACGAAGCAACGAAAGATGAACACGGCACAACCAGCACAACAGCAAAGACGCAACCGGAGCCTCCGCGTTCGCTCGCCGATCACGTGGACACCGCCTCCGAGGTAGAGTAGGCGGAGTCACAACAGTTGGTTGAGTCAGAGGGCAGAGTGACCGCCGGAGGCGGCGAGCGTGGCGCCGCCTGTGGGATGTGTACCTCGAAACGAAAAAACGAAGAAAACACCTGCGCATGCTATAGACGTCACTGACGGTGGAAGCGGCGGAAGCAGATCGGCGGAAGTGCAGTGTTGGCTGCGCCGCACGTTCCCGCTATAGTTAGCCGATATTGTTACTTTCGCGCTTTTACAACTTTTTTAGACGGAATTCAATTCTAATATTTGACGTGTAGCCTTTCTAGATTATACTGAATAGAATTACATTGTTTTTTCAGTAGAAAAAATTGAGCGGAGTTGCCCTTTAAAGGAGTCCTGAAACGCTTTTTCAACTTTTTTCTGTTTAGCTTTCCTCCTCAACTCATAAATCGCGCATTGTACCAAGCAGTTCAAGAAGTCGGAAAGGGGGGAGTCCCCTCTTGCTCGGAATCTGGCTTGTGTAGCCGGACACAGCCATTGTCCCCCTAGAAGATTAGCCCGTCGCTCAAAATCCCGACTAGTTGCTTTCCCCACCCGTTCACCCCGAAGCTGACAGTGCTGTGGAAGCTACGTGCTCGTTGGGCCAGTCACACATTTTCCACGTGACCATGCTCTCTCGCGCATACCGACCCGCAGAGAATGAGGTCA